TTTTCTATAATTGCCTTTTATTACCTTAGCAGTACGTCTTTGGAAATATTTCCAAGTTGGTACAAACAGAACTCATTCATTCTTGTTAATGGCTACACAGTAACTCAAGTCACAGATGGACCGTAATATATGTAAGCAGTCCTCTACTGGTGGATATTTTGGTTATCCCCTCCTCCCCTTTGTGGGACTGTGTTAAACAACACTGCAAAGAGAATTTCAGTGTGGAGACTATTCCTTCATGAACCCAAATAAGTTCAAACTTCTGGGTTAAGGATATACCAGGTCACAGACTTGTGAAATGAGAAGGTGCTACATTTTAAAGTTTAATAAGTATTTACTGAGCTCCTACTACATATATGAAACCAGGGAATCTCATCAGGTGAGGGGTGGGGGGGTTGGGCTGGCACAAGGGTTGAGCGACAAGGAAGCCTGAATAAATTCTGCTAAACAACTTTCATCTGGCTATTTCTGTTGAGCTGTCAACACAGATGCTGAGTTTTGCCCTTAGAATTTTAAGGGTACCATGGACATGTGACAATGTACAATCCACTAGGGACTGAAGTGGGGGGAGAGGAGGAGGCGTGGCATGCTAGGACACAAATAGCCATCGTTACATTATTACAGCCATTGCTTTGTTCACCATTTATTGAGCCTGTCTCTGTGCCAGAGACCATGAACATCCAGTAGGGGAGACAAGGATGAAGGCTTGTACCCCTGCTACCAAGCACCTTACCATCCAGAGGGAAAAGAAAACAGGAAGCCAGGTGAGGTTGTAAGAATGGCCCAAACAGTAAGGGGCCATACAGACTAGAGCAAGAGAGTTCAGAGTGAGGAGGAAATACTTCCAGCTAGGAGAAGGGGAAAGGGAAGAGGCAAGGAGAACTATCTTCTCCCTACATCACCTACCACGTGGATGGCATTGACATCCCCATGGAACCCCAGCTGGGGCGTCCAGCAGCGTCTGCAACTCCTCCTACTCCCTCATGCCCACCCATAATGGATCCCCAAATGCTCGCAGTTACAATCGCAGAGTAGCTCTCCAATCAACCCTCCAATCAATCCTCCTCCCAAGTTCAAGTACTCATCCTCTCTTGCCGAATTTTTGCAGTTTTCTAACACATTTTTCTACTTCCAGATCTCTCCCCATCCAGCCCATCTTTCCTGCTGCCTCAAAAGTTATCTTCCAAAATCACAAATCTGATCATGTCACTCCTCTGCTTAAGAACTTTTGCTGACTTTCCATCCCCTAGCATAGCAATATCCAAAATTTTGTCACCAGCATATCAGCTTCACTATGTTATTTTTTGTCCTATCTTCATACGTCCCTGTGCCAGTTATTTGCCTGTGTCTCTCAGCCACTTACCCTCACCTCACCACTCTGCTCTATATTTGGGGGACTTGGAGTCTACAAACTACACTTTCCAGACCCCTTTGCCAGCTGCCTTTCTGTTAGGACCTAGGGTATGCCCCTCACCCAACTAGTGAGGAACTGGAAGTCAGACGCAAGGGACGGTTGGAAGGTAATCTTCCTTCTGCAGCAGATGCTGGAGGTTCTAATGGTTGTAGTTGTGGCAGCAGGAGTGCAGGGTGCTAGCTTGCCGCAGCCTGGGTAGGGGTGGCACTCTTTTCAGTAGTTCAAGCCCTGGCCAAGGTGACTGCTTTATTGGATCTAGAACTGAAGGCACCAGCAACCTCCAACACTGTAGAAGCAAATGCAGGCCTCTGGGTTCCAGCCCAGAGGCATTAGCAGCTTCAAATCCCCTTCTTCCTTGTGTTCTTCCTGGTCTTCCAACTTGGTAACCAATCTCCTGTATTAAATTCCCTCATTTGAAATGCCTACGGCAATATCTGTTTTCCATACTGGACTCCTGTACTATTATGTTATGGACTATTTTTATGGACTATTTTTATGGTGATATAAATATAGTTATAATAATTTATAATTATTATACTAAATATAATTATTACATAATAGATACTATTATAGTTTATAAATTTCTAAGATGATTTATAACAATTTATAGTTGTAGTTATATAAATATAGTTATTATATATAGTTTTATATTTGTGTACTATTTTTCTCTAAGTCAGTCCCTAAAAAAAACAACCTGACCTTATCCTAAGCAATAATATCCATGAAATCATAAGTTGGTATATATTTTTCTAATACATAGTAGACTAAATATATAACTATTAATGTTAAAAGTGCTCATCCGTGTCCCCTGTAAAATCATCTCTTGTGCTGATATATGCTCCATTCTGGGTAGCTCTAGCCTGGGGAGTCCATCCAGCCTCCCGTTCACCGTCTGGTTGTGGCTTCCCTCTCCAGCTCCCACCTCTGGTTCCCTACACAGATTCTTCCATTCTCCTCTCTCCTTTCACTTTGAAATATGTGCCTTTCTTCAGCAGCAGCATGTTTTTTCGTGCTTTTGTGTGTTTTGTTCTCTATTCATGAACGTATCTTGACTCCTTCCCTGACCAGAAAATTCCTTCTTACTCTTAATTCAAACATTCTCTATATTTTGAAATTTTATTCAAACTTCATTCTATTCAAAAGATAGCTTTAACTCCCTCGATGCTCCCTGGTAGACAGTGAGTTCCTTTGTGGATTCAAAATGTAACCCCCGCATGAATTTCACATAGTAAGAAAAAGAATTCAGTAAAATATGCTGTGCACTGCACCTGTGCTGAACACTAGCAGATCAGATCTTTCATTCCTTTGTGATCTATCTTTATGCACATGGACTATCAGGTTATTTGGCCTAGAGTAATAGATATTTCTGAACCAACAGTAACCCAACTGTGAATGACTCAAGAGGTCAATGGCTCCTGGACTATCGTCCTATCAACAGTTTCTGGGCACGTACTCCATGGAAAGTGCAATGCTAAGCTCTGGTTTGGAGTTTTCAAGACAGTAACCAAGATATACCTTTAAAAATTATAATATGGAAACAACCAAAGTAAAAAACATGAGCTTCAGAGTCCAACAGACTGGGTTCACGTTCCTATTTGGCAACTTCCTATTTGGGTAAATGGAGGCAGTTATGCAGTTACTAACCTCTTTATACCTTAGCTTTCTCATTTGAAAAATAGGGATAATAAAGCTTACCTTACAGTATTATTTCGAGAATTCAATGAGATAGTACAGAGAAAGCACCTACTTAGCGTCCAATTAATGGAAACTGTTATTTTATCACTATGAATATAATGTAATTAATGGAATAGACTGGAAATCGCTTTTGGCAACATTGGTCTAGGGGAGCAGAGAGGGCAGAGACCTCAGGAGGGCTATACGGAGAGGGACTGTGGAGCCGAGCCTTGAGGGATGTCAGTGGAGTGGCTGTCCTGGCTCTGAAGGGCTGATGACTCATGGCCTTAAAGCAGAGAGATGCAGGGTTGCAGGGTGGGGATGGCAAGCAGGCCAAAGATTGCTTGGAAAAAATTTCTCTTTGAAGTGTCAGGCTGACTTTCAAGACAACTGGACTAGCTTTCAACCCTCAGAGGGCAAGGGACATGAGGACGCAGGGACACAGGACATGCAAATACTGTTAACGTATACAGCCTGAATAAGGGCCTTATGAACCAGCTTTACAGATAAGTTTTAAGTTCTGTCTTGATTACACCAGCCCTCAAATGATCTCCACTCCCTGCCACATAATCCACAGGATTTTCCACTCTGCTGTGTCCCAGGCAAGGAGAACTCACTGGGGGCCCTAAAGTAAATCATAGGAAAGTCTCACTTATACAACAAGGATATTCCTAAAAGTTATTGTGTAAAGGGAAATTTCGTTAAATACACTTGTTTGTGTAGTCTGTGTAGTGTGATTCCTTTTACGGTGCAAACCACCACCCACAATTTTCGTTTGACATATTTGCACTTTTACCCTTCGGTGGGTTCTGCAAGCAGGGAGACCTCTGAAAACACCAAGGATATTGACCGGTTTTAAGGCAGGTGCCATTCTAGGTACTGGACAGTTGATACAGGGGCATTCTTTAAGGAATTTCTTTAAGGAATTCTGTCTCTGAGAAGGGACAGAATAGGCATATGAAAAACAAGGCTTAAGAATATCTTTAAAATTTTTTTGAAGGATACGCATCCTGAAATCCCACCAAAAGGATTTAAAGCCACACATAATAAAAACACAAGATTTCCAGGATCCGTGACATGGCCAATTGAGCTGAATCAAACTCTTTCCTTCGTGTGACGAGAATGTGCAGGTTGAACCATAACAGGTTTTCAGATATACAGCTGAGGTCGAAAGGAAGGAAGGAAGGAAGGAAGGAAGGAAGGAAGGAAGGAAGGAAGGGAGGGAGGGAGGGAGGGAGGGAGGGAGGGAGGGAGGGAGGGAGAGAGAGAAAGAGAGAGAGAGAGAGAAAGAAAGAGAGAAAGAGAGGAAGAAAGGAAGAAAGGAAGAAAGGGAGAAAGGGAGAAAGGGAGAAAGGAAGGAAGGAAAATCCCCAGATGCCAGGAACACAGAAGGAACAGAAAGTCAGAGAAGTAAGCAGTGAGCTGAGGCTGGGCACCTGGGATGGTTGCCAGACCTGGAAATAGACCCGGATGGCAATGGAGCATGGGTTTTCATGCCCCTCAGGAGCAGGGGATGAGGCCACAGCTCTGAAAAAGATACAAAGTGGGAACTGAGATGCCTAGCAGGACAGCTGCACCATAGCAAACTGGGGACTGGAGACACTACCCACTGGCCCAGGAGATAGGAAGGAATCTTGTCCTCAAGCCAGAAGATAAACATAAAGATTGCCCTGGGTGATACCACTGGACACCTGGCAGAAGCAAATACAAAGTGTTCTGATCCCCTCTGATATGAGCTTCACATTCCTGAGGGACTTGACTGTTGACACAGTGCTTTCACAAGGCAGAGAATGTCATGACTATTTAACAGATAGTGGAGGAATTAGAGGTTCAGTAAGCCTGAGGGATTTGTCCAGGCTCACACCTCGGGTAGAGCGAAGAGCTGGGCCCAAACCCAAGTCCTTCCCCTCTGCAGCCCAGCCTGTAGCAGAAGGACGGGCTCACAGGGCTTCTCCTGAAACACTCAGGAAACAGGCTGGCTGGTACTGCAGACCCCTGGGATCAGATCCAAGTGCAAAGGTACGTGGCCTAAAATGAATGGCAGTCATATCCTGGCCACCCAGAGGCGTGTCACCTCCCCTCCCACACCCCCATGCTGCTCATCTGAATGGGGAATGTGAGGAGAAGGGATGTCTGTGGCAACTGGAGTGGGGCTGGAGTCTCTGGGTGGATAAAAATCAGAAGCTGTGCCCAAGGAATGGAGTCTTTTTTTTTTCTTGAAAGCCACTTGAACTTTGTCATTGCAATTAAGCTTATCTCTTCTTGTGTTTGCTTACCTTGTGGGCAGGAGATGTCATTACCCTCTCTTAATTTTATGGAAAACTACTTAGAAGTGTTAAATTTTGAAATGGCAACTAACCCTGTGGCCTCAAGACTCACACACACACACCCACACAAAATCTGGTCAAAAGGAGGCCATTGGAGTTTGCATAAGAATCTCCCTGCCTGGGATCTGGAGGAGGGAGGAAGTCAGCTCGGTCTATGTGCCTCTCCCGTCTGTGAGGCTGTCCATTTGATGCGGGAGCTATCCAGTTTTCACCAGCTGTGCCAGCACCTTGATGAGCTCTGAGTCAGTCATGCTGGGTGCTGACTGGATGATGTAGTCAGGAAGTGCAGGGCCAGGCAGAAGGGTCTGCAGGGAGTCCGCTCACAGGGGCTGCTCTTCCTCGGACACCAGAAAAGGAATAGCCGATCCAGGCTTCCTGAGAAGCCTCTGGGATTGGTGCTGACTTGCCCTATGAAGAAACTTTCATGACCCTCCTCCCACTCTCCACCTTAGAGCCCAGAAAGCAGCACTGTGGGGCTTGTCATTTGACACGTGTGGTCCAGGGGAGAGGGTCTGGATGTGGACTCCATGTGCCAGGTACCCCTTTATCTGAGGAGGGATGTCGGCAGGCAGTGGCTGTATAAGTGAGCATGGTGCATCCAGGGCACTGCCAGTAGGTCCTGCCAAATGGAGCAACTGATGGCTGGGGAGGGCGGGGGTGGTAAATGGCTTTATCACTACCATTTCCTTGGTGATTAGTTCATTGGTTTTAGACTGCAAATCTTCTATGCTCTCTATTTAAGGAAGTTTTTACTGATTTGCTCCCTGACAAGGGTTTGAAGAGTTCTCAGCATACGTGGTAGGTGAGGTGAGGTGGGGGGGGGGGGTCTCAAGTATGACTTGAATTTAGCCCTGGGCTCAACCACTGCACAGTCATGAGACAGACACACACCAGCTATTACCCCATGAGTATTAGCCCATGTAACCCAGATGCCATCTGGGATTGCGTGGTACGCTGGGATTTGGATAAAATTAGCCTGAATTCCTCCAAAGCCCTCCCTAAGATTTCTGGGGCTCCTGGGGGGAATAAACCCCCATGGACACTCTGTTTTGGGTATGCTATCTCAGTCCCATCACATCAATCCAGAAATGAAACTCAGACATTCATCATCTTCCACTTGCACATATATTGATTCATGTATTCTATTTTACTGTATTATATATATATTTTTATATTTTATGGAAGCATTTGAGGTAGTTGGGAAGGGAACTAAAGAAAGACGTATGGCGATTCACTTTGCAGCAAATGAGCCGCTTCAAATTCAACATTAGCCTTCCTAGAAGCCCTTCCTGCCTTACTGCCATTGGGGGTGTCTTAGTGACCCTTCACCTCACACCTTCTCCCTGGCCCCTCTCCTCTCTGCTTGCTGCACTGCTCTCTTTCTTCTCCTCCGACATCTAGGAGGGAGAAAGAAGACACAGCCAGGCCTCTGCTGGTCTCCTGCACAGCACGGAAGTGCTTTGCCTTCACCATCTCAGCCCTTGCTGACACACAGATCTTGGGTCTCACTCACCCTCTCTCCCACGCAGCTTATCCAGTCAATTTCACTCTCTCTCTCTCTCTCTCTCTCACACACACACACACAGTTTCCTCTCCAAGAGAAATTCTGATGCCAGTTCTTAAGATAATGGATTTTTCTCTTCCTTATATATACGAAAATAAAAAATCATTGTCTCACCTGAAGGAGATTAGGATCTAATACGGGCACCCACAATACGACGAGACATGTTAAAAAGTGCATGGCCAGGGTTCAGAACAAGAGGAGATGAGCCCGGGGATGTGCCCATCATCCTTTGAGCCACTTTTCCTACTCCGTGTCGGATGCAAGGGCATTTGTGGTGACTAAAACTGGCCGTGAGTTCTCAGCATTCAAGCCTGCTTGACGTTCTCCAAGGACAGTCCCAGCTCCTGGACTGGAAAGCACCTTGTGTCCTGGGCACTGTCAGGGAGGGCTGAGCAGGGAGGGCAGAGCAGAGCAGCCCTCTGCACTTAGATGGAAGGTTTTCCTGGTGCCAGAATCTGCACGACAGCACGTTCAACCAGCGTTCTCTGCCCACGCTGCTCAGAGGGTAGTGATCTCTCTGTGCAGAGTGTATGCTAAACACGCCTGTCAGGCATGCTGGAGGAGGGCTCTGGCATTGAGCACGTGAGTGGATGAGAGGACTTCTAAGGTGCTTCTCTAGATCAACATATCTAAATTCTGGGGATTTGGGAGATTATGTGTGAGGGGCTGGAGACAATAGAGCACCTGTACAGTAGGCTGACATGCCTGTGCTAGTCCCGGCTCCTCCTGCTCCTGTAGCATGGATGTCCCCTGCCATGAGCCCCCATCCACTCATGCATCCCCTGCCTCACGTGCAAACCAGAACCTGCCAGGCTTCAAGAGCAGACACCGCAGCAGCCCAGATGTTGTGGGGTGCAGAGACCCAGGACTGCCAGTTTGGCAGATGAGTGAGTGAGCATTTAGTTATCTTAGAGATTTTGCTGCAGATAGGTACAGATGGGATCCCCCGGCAGGGGAGGGAACTGTCCAGGAAACAGAGAAAGCTCTGTCTGGAATCTCCCATCAACTCAAGCACAGGCTAGAATGGCGGAGCAGGATCGCAGAGGAAGGAGAAAGAATGGATAGAGATGGGGAGAGAGTAGCTGACTCTTGGGCTTGGGGTACCCTGTTCACATCCTCTCACACTGGACTCTCAGCCAATCCGCAGCCCTGTTTGACAGACACACACACACACACACACACACACACACACACACTGATGTCCTTGCTGCCCAGCCCCAATGATTCAGTGATTTGAAGGGGTTTGCCAGCCTGACTACTCCATATCTCTTATTTTCCTTTAATGAGGCAAGCCCTGGCCTCATTATCTTTTTATTTGCTGACCCGTCATTAACTGGACACCTATTATGTGCCAGGTACTAGGAACACCAAGGAAGGAGCAGAGTGAGAAAGAACACATAGAGATACAACCGCAGTAGGAATTAGAACGTAGATACAGTCGGCCCTCGTTTCCACAGGTTCCGCATCCAGGGGTTCAGCCAACGGACGTTCCGCAGTTGGTTGAACCCGCGGATACGGAAGGCCAGCTAAGGGACTTGAGCATCCTCGGATTTTGGTATCCACGGTGGGTTCTGGAACCAATACCCTGCTATCCCGAGGGACGACTGCATTTGCCAAGCGCTCTACGAGCCCAGAGGATCCATAGAGGAGGTCATTATGCAGGGAAGGGATGGAAGGGCGGGAGGGAGCAGTGTGAACGCGAGCATGGAGGCATGGGCGCCCTGACGAGTGCGGTTGGCCCCGCCGGTACTACCTTCTTTCTTTCCCCTACTTTGTCTCAGCCTAACAAAGTGCATCTCGTTTCCACACAGCTGGCTTACATGATTGACCCCTGCCCTTAGTATGTTCCACTTGAACTCTTCAGAAAGGAGACTGATCTGGACTGTGGAGGAGCCTATAATCATCAAGCAGGAATTCCCAGAATACAAAATAGTTCTAGGGGGCTGGTGACAACTTTGTAAAAATTAAGTTTTTGTAATGATAAAGACGGGAAAAGATCATCAGGTTGTGTAAATAAGGTGAGGTTTTGAGTTTAAAGGGATTCTTTGGTACTTTTCTGTGTCTACATCTAGATCTAGATACACACATATGTATATGCACACACATATATGTGTATATACGTATACATACACATATATGCACACACGCACATATATGTGTGTGTATAGATGTGTATGCACACACACACATTTCATGGAAGCGTAGCATCCTAAAGGCTGCAGGGCCATAGGGCTTTGCACTTGATTGACACCCATCAATGTTTGCTGAACTAGAGCAAACCTCTGCTGTGCCCATCCTGGTTTTTATCATTGACCATTGCTCTCAGGAGTTAATGTTTGAACCTGGTCATAAAGGAATCAACAGCGCCTGACCTCTGTTCAATATTCGAAAGGGAAGGAGCCCCCTATAAATCAGCCCACACCAGGCAGCCCGGCTGGCAGAGCTACAGATCAGCTGTGGAAGGAGCCTCGTCGCCACCATGAACTTCTCCGGCAAGTACCGACGGCAGAGCCAGGAAAACTTTGAGGCCTTCATGAAGGCAATTGGTGAGTGCTGGGCTGGTCGCCAAGGCTTGGGGCCACGGCAGTGAGGGTCTGGCCTGCAAGTGGTAGCTTTTCAGGGTCTCAATGTTGGGATGGGAGGAGAGGTTGGGGCTTTACACAGACCAGGGCCATGTTGTTGACCTTCGTGGTCACTTGTAGCTTGTGCTATACTCACTAGACAAGGCCACCCCATAGGCAAGTGGAAAGAGCACTGAGCTAGGGTCTGATCTGGATTGAAGCCACTTCTGCTAGTACCTCACTGTGTGACCTAGTTCATTCATCCCTTCCTTCCTTCATTCATTCTTCTAACAAACATTGATTTAAGGCTGACCACCTGCTGTGCACTGTGCTGCACAGATACCAGGGAGACAGATAATAATGTGCCAGAGAAAAAGAGAGAGAGGAAAAGTGAAGAAATAAATGCAATAATGTATCCCCTACCCTGTACTGAGGGCCGACTCAGTGCCAGGCACTGTGCTAAGCCTTCATATGCAATATCCCATTGAATCCTCACCAAAAACTCTGAGTTGGGTACTACTATTTTTCCCATTTTACAGTTGCAGCAACTGAGGCCTAGAAAGGTTAAGTAATCCTGAGGTCACACAGGTGGGAAGTGTTTGAGTTGGGATTTGAAGCAGGTGCTGGTTCCCAGAGACCCCATTTTAACCCCCTGTGCCCCAACAGAGTCACTTACAGGAGGACGTGGCGCTCGTGCAGTGGGGGGTAAGGCTTGGTGGTAGTGAAGGTGAGCCTTGGCCGAGCCCTGGAAGATAAGCAGGTGTCCACGAGGGGACTGGAGGAGGGGATTGTGCTCCACGTAGAGGGAGCTTTGTGAGCAAAGGGGCAGTGTGACAAGGAAGGGTGTTGAGAGGGAGAAGGGTGGGGAAGACAGCAAATGCAGAGGGAGAAGGACCTTTGGGGCCAGCTGAGAGATTGGATCTTCTCCTGCAGGGCAAGTCACACCACCTCTCTGTGTCTTGCATCCCTCACATGTGCAACAGGACCCGCCACCTCCACAGTCAACACACGTGGTTTTTATGAACCTCAATTAGTATAACAGCGTAGACATGCTCTGAAATTGTTAAGCTCTGTCCCAGGGTAGGGGACTCCTGGTACATCTTCCTCAAGAGCCTTGATGACAGAGGTTTGCAGGGCACAGTCCCAGTATGTGCATGTTGTCCTGGCATAGTTTTTTTGTGTGTGTGAGGAAGATCAGCCCTGAGCTAACATCCGTGCTAATCCTCCTCTTTTTTTTTGCTGAGGAAGACCAGCTCTGAGCTAACATCTATTGCCAATCCTCCTCCTTTTTTTTCCCCCCCAAAGCCCCAGTAGATAGTTGCATGTCATAGCTGCATCCTTCTAGTTGCTGTATGTGGGATGCGGCCTCAGCATGGCCGGAGAAGCGGTGCGTCGGTGCGCGCCCGGGATCCGAACCCGGGCCACCAGTAGCGGAGCGCACGCGCTTAACCGCTAAGCCACGGGGCCGGCCCTGGTATGCCAGTTTTTAATAGCTCCCCATTTCACTCTCAGGAGTGACCTGGCTTGGAAGATAAACTCTATGAGCCCCCTGGGTATGGAGGATGAAATTCTTACACTCAAAGAGCAAAGTCTCTGGGCATTGAAGGAGGAGGAGTGAGGAAGAGAGCAAGCAAGAACAATGGTGCTCATAGAGGAAAGGTTCTTCAGGCCAGAGGAGTGTCTATTTTATAAACCAACTGGCAAGATGGTGGGCAGACCAGGTCCTGCCACGCTAGGCCACTGACCTTCCTTTCAGAGGTCAAAGCCCACATTGCTCACAAGACTCCAGTACGTGCCTGTGGCCTCCCCACCCCCTCCATGCCACGTTTCTCCTGTGACCACCCCCTTGCAACTCCCACCTCTGCCTGTCTCTAACCGCAAATGGTTTCCACCAGGTGTGCCAGATGAGCTCATCCAGAAGTGGAAGAACACTGAGTCGGTGACGGAAATCGTGCAAAACGGGAAGCACTTCAAGTTCATCATCACTGCAGGGCCCAAAGTGTTGCAAAATGAGTTCACCTTGGGGGAGGAGTTTGAGCTGGAGACCTTGACTGGGGAGAAGGTCAAGGTAGGAGGTGCCCCCTTTAGCTACCCTCTGCTTCCGGAACTTTCCCTGGAGCCTGGCCCCAGGGATTCCTCCCTCAAGTCTCCCACCTCACAATTCCCACCATGGATATCCTATCTCAGAACCCACTTTTCGGGTGAGAGGCGGGGAGACAAAGACAGCTCTTAGGGATGAAGCTCTTAGAGAAGCCGCTCCGGTTTTCCTCAGACTGTCTGGGGGTGCTCTGGGCCAAGAATCCAAGCTCTCCCATGTGGAGGATATGAGGGAACCAGGCACAGAGCAGGAGTCTAAGTCTCAGGTTCTCCAAGGCCCAGCAGTGGATCAGTGGAAAACCCTTAACAGAGCCCTGAGGTCATCCTTAAGCCCAAAGTAAACTGGCCTTTGCTGAGCCTAGAGCTGATGGTCATAGGGAGAGACTTCCTGGAAGAGCTGCTGGCAACACCAGGATACCAAGGCCTCAGGCAAGCCCTCAGACTAAGCCTTCAGGAGTAGTCATTGAGCCCCAGGCCCTAGCTACCTCATATGTAAAATGGGCATAGTCACCCTTCCCAGACTGAAGGCAGTGGGCAGGGCAGCATCATTTCCTGCTGGGCCATGGCTCAAGGTGTGCAATGAGACTGGGCGTGCGCTGTGTGAGTGGTTGGCAGAGAGATCCAGGCAGTGGGGTGCCCCTTACCAGGAGCCTCTCTTCCTGCCTTGAAAACTCCACACACCCCAGCCCAGCCAATGCCACTGAGCAGCCGTCTTCACTCCTCCCTTCCAGACGACTTTGTGCATTGGGCTCAGCATGTTGGTCTCTTTACCTCTTCTGATCACTCTTTATTTCTGCTCCTTCACATGCAATATTACAGTTCAGGGAATCTGTGATAAATTTTAGGAGGAAAATTCTCTTGATATGCCCGTAGTAAGGGGCAGGCCATCATGGGTTTTACTATGGGCCTTTGCCAATTGTCCACTTTGGAGGTAAATTTTTAATATTGGCCAGTGTCTTCTGCTCCCTGCTGGGTTTCTGTTACCAATTCCTAGATGCATAAAGCTTTTTGAGGACACAATAGGAAAGATAAATGTGCTGGAAGGAATAATACAAACCAAATCAAAAAGATATGTTCTCCCAACTGGCCAGGATTTTGAATTTTGCTGTTACCTCCCCCCAATAGCTTGGAGAATTGAGATTTTACTTGATTATATGTTAGTGTTTGCATTTGAGACCACTTAGATGTCCTATGCTGATTTCTAGATCACACGCTATAAATCAAAGGCTGACAAAAGAAGCCCTGACATTTTCTTTCGTTCTTAACTGCCCCTCACCTCTTTAGAGCCAGAGAACTGGGGGGTTGGCTCATCAAAAGATGAGCGATTTGGTTGTTGTAAGCAGAGACCCATGCAGGGGAGCCAACTTCATCAGCAAGGCTCTTGCTCCCTCCCCAAACACTTCCTCACAGGCCATCTCTTCTGTCCCCTGCAGGCAGCGGCTCAGTTGGAAGGTGATAAACTGGTGACAACGTTCAAAGGCATCAAGTCCGTGATTGAACTCAATGGTGACATACTCACCACTGTAAGTTGGCGATCTGAGCTTGTGGCTCCCAGGGGAGTGGGGAGGGGACAGGGGCTGAAGGGTGAGGAGCAGCCCTCCCCATTGCCTTTCCTGTTGTCAATCTCTGCTACCCCTTACTGAGGATCCATGATGTACCAAGCAGTTTACACACATTATCTCTAATCTTCCCACCAACCCTGAATTTTCTAAATGGGGAAACTGAGGCAACAAACAGCCAGGAAATGGCAGAGCTAGGGTTCCTCTGAACTGAGTCTGTCTCACAGAGCTGCCATACATGGTTGTACACTGCACAACCCTAGGGGGAGCCACTCTCTTTATAGACAGTGTAGATCTGTATACTTATTACAATCTTGCAGCAAATGCCAGTAGGGTGTCTTGTTCTGACAAAACCAGTGCAGTGTGTTCAGGTAGTTTTCCAGCGGATAGAAGTGTAGTGTCTTGAGGAAGGGCCCTGTTTTTTTAATTCACCAAAAGCCCACACGTGCTGGCAGCGGCCCCAGCTGGTTCCTCCTGAGTTCTCTCGGGCTGTCCTTCCACCACCACTCTCCAGGTCAGGGCCAACCACTCCAGCCTCCCCCACTTCCTTCTCTCCTCATTGCCATCTCTGTCTCCTCTTCCCTTCCTTCACTAACACCCAAATAAGATGAGGCAAGAGAAGTGCTTGGTAGGAGGAGACACAAGGTCATGCAGAGCCACAGCACGGCCCATCTTTCTCAGTCTCTGCTAGGATGTAGCCACAAGACTCGCTCCCAGGCTGGAGGGCAGAAATGCATTCATTCCCTCCTATGGGCCTCTGATTCATGGAGCAACCCCTCCCGCTGACACAGCACCCACACACAAGGAAGTCTTTGACCAAAAGTTGGGCTCTTTCATTGCCTTTTCTATTTTATGACATTACAGTATTAGTAGCCATAACCCTTCCCTTCTGCCTCAGCACTAACCAGCAAGCCACAGAGGCCTCCATCTGCCCTGCAAATCCAGGGCACTCAATAAATGCCTTTGCTCTTTTGGCATTTATAAGGAGAATGATATTCATGGCAATTTTGTGGCAGCTTATGAGCCTGGGACACTCCAGTTTTGTGTGCCACATCATCCTTGGTGCCTGGCTGTCGGCCACATCCTGTCCCTGGTTTGGGGGTGAATAGTGCAGTGTTTCTCCTGCAATTATGTCCCCCCAGGCCCTTCCTTGCCCCCAGGATGTGCTTTAGGGAATAACAGAAGGCAGAACACCACCCCACGGGTCTGTCATAACCCTGTTCAAGTGAAAAAATCCCTCAACTAGGAGTGTGAGAGTCAATCATGAAACACACAGTCCCCACCCCCTACCCTGGCACATTCACAGCCCAGCAGGAAGGGACCATCAGGGGAGCGAGAGATGAGCCTGTCCTGCACTCAGTCTTGACCAGCGTCCTTTGATCTTCGTCTCCCCTAATGCTCCCATCTCCTAGGAGGGAGGCAGGATGAGGGATTTAACAGACAGGTTGGCCTGTCCAAGGTCATCCAGCTAATGAGTTGTAGGACCAGAGTTCAACCTAGATCTTTCCATTTCATTTCATTGCTGCTGAAGCTAAGAGGCTCCTTTTTAACCTTGATGACATTACTCCACATCATTGCCACAGTATTGCAGGAGGGAGGGATGTGGGGAGAAAGGAACATCTCTCAAAAACTCAAAAACTGGTGATACAAAGGATCCAATGTTTTTATATGCTTCACAGCTCTTTGGGAAGAAAACTATGCACAACCTACCACGTTCCAGGCTGGGTGCCTAGGTGTACCACATACATGTCCTTGGTGCTCAGCACATGTTTGGTACATAATGGGCACTCAAGGAAACTTTGAGAAATTGGATTGGACTGGACTGGTTTGGATGGTCTTGCTCTAACAGCCACTGATATAGAAAGGAATTCAGTAAAAGCCAGGATAACTCTCTACATGAGGAAATGAAGTGACAAAGACTTGTCATGGGATTTTAGAAAAAATTACCAACCCTTCCTCTGGTCCTATAGAAAACAGAGGAATCTTTGAATTGTTTTATGTGTTAGCATATTTGGGGCTATTTTGTAGGCTTAAATGTCTTTTACAATTCAACATCAGATCAACATTTCATGGTTTCTTTTCTGATTTGCAGACTATGACATTGGGTGACACTGTCTTCAAGAGCACCAGCAAGAGAATTTAGACAAGCCTGCATTCCATATTCTTTTACAGTGCAAAACGAATGTAATAAAGTCAACTTTGTTTTAAAAAAAAAGTCTTTTCTTCTCAATGGCTTTTCATTGATGGCGCTATTTGTGTCAGTGGGCACTGATCACCTGTATTTTTGTAAACCTTGATAATCCACATGTTCCATGCTGCTGGGTCAGGTCTGAAGGAGGATTCTCACCCTGAAAGCAGACCCCAGGCCGCCAACTCAGGTGACCCTACAAGGAACATGAGATGTGGCACGAGATGTGGCTGGATCTATAGAGCAGCCCTAGAATGATCTTGGCCAGTCGGCCACACGGGCAAGGAGCTGGGGCAAGAGGATGCGCAGTATGCTGGCCCTGAGGGTGGCTCCCCGTGGAGACAGCAGGAATGCTGGGCAGGCAAAGGGGAGCTATGCCCATGACTATGGCCACAGCGGCCCCACCCACCAGTGGACATGAACAAAAAGAGCAGGCACTGACCCACCAAATGAACAATTCACCCTCCTAGCGGAGGGCTGAGCAAGGAGCTTAGCAAGAGGTGCCAGAAGTGAACAAAGGGAGCTCAGGTGGAAATTCCCTCCGTGCTATGGGCAGAGGCAGAATGTGGGAGAAGAAGGATTCCTCTGAACAGCACTTTGTACCAGGCACTGGGAGCTATTTTGGTTTGGGTTGCATCTCCCCAAAATTCACATGTTGCAGTCCTAACCCTCAGTAACTTAGATTGTGACCTTATTTTGAAATAGAGTCATTGCAGATGTAATTAATTAAGTTAAAATGAGGTCATATTGGATTAGAGTGGGCTCCTAATCCAATATGGCTGGTGTCCTTATAAGAAGGAGAAATTTGTGGACACAGAGACACACACAGAGGAGGTATGCCTTGTGATGATTGAAGTTATGCTGCCACAAGCCAAGGAACCACCAGAAGCTAGGAGAGAGATCTGGTACCAATCTTTCCCTACCTCCTTCAGAGGGAGCATGGCCCTGCCATCACCTGCATCTCCGACTTCTGGCCTCCAGAACTGTGAGATAATCAATTTCTGTTGTTTAAGCCGCCTAGTCTATGGTACTTTCTATGGCAGCCCTAGCAAACTAATACAGTGCTCATTCCCCATATCCAAAGAGCTGCCAAGCTCAGGCATTTCTACCCTCATCATATCTTTCAGCTGCCAGCTCTGTGCCCAGCCCACAGAAAGCTCTCAACAGAGATGCCTTAATAAATGAGTGAATCTGCCACATTTCCCACCTCCTCTCATCCCACTTCTGGAGTTGAAACCCCATTACTTGCTACTTGGATTGTTTCACAGGCCACTATGGCATCTCCCTGCCTCTCTCTCTCACCTGCAAACCTCCACCTGCTAGCAGTCATCTTCCTTAAAAACAACACTGGGGCCAGCCCCATGGCTTAGCTGTTAAGTGCGCGCACTCCGCTACTGGCGGCCCGGGGTTCGGATCCCGGGTGTGCACCGACGCACCGCTTCTCTGGCCATGCTGAGGCCACGTCCCACATACAGCAACTAGAAGGATATGCAACTATGATGTACAACTATCTACTGGGGCTTTGGGGGGGAATAAAAAGGAGGAGGATTGGCAATAGATGTTAGCTCAGAGCCAGTCTTTCTCAGCAAAAAGAGGAGGATTAGCATGGATGTTAGCTCAGGGCTGATCTTCCTCACCAAAAAAAAAAAAAAAACACAACACTGATCGTAACACTTCCTAGTTCATTGACTAGCACGTAAGAGTCAAACTCCTAAACCTGCATTCAAGTCTCTCTATCAGGGGTCAGTGAATTTTTTCCGTAAAAAGCCAGAGAATAAATATTTTCAGCTTTGTGAGCCATCCAGCTTCTATCACAACTCCCCAATTTTTCTTTTTTATTGAGGTAATGTTGGTTTATAACATTACATAAATGTCAGGTATACATCATTATATTTCAATTTCTGCATAGGTTTTTTTTTTATTGAGGTAAAGTTGGTTTATAACATTATATAAATTTCAAGACAACTCCCCAGTTCTGCTCTTGTAGCATGGAAGCAGCCACAATATACAAACAAATGGGCATGGCCGTGTTCCAATAAAACTTTATTTATGGACACTGACATTTAAAATTTATATCATTTTCACATGTCATAAATTTGATTTTTTTCAACCATTTGAACATGGAAAACTATTCTTAGCTTTCACACTGTAAAAAACAGGTGGTAGCCGGATCTGACCTGCAGACCGTAGGTTGCCAAGCCTTGCTCAATCATAGTCTGTCCCACCTTATCTAGCTTCACAGAATTTCCTGTACTATACATTCTGATAAAACTAAACAACCTCTGGTTTCCCTCTCTATTTAAGTGCCACCTCCTTCAAGAAGGCTCCCTAAATTGCACAGCTGAAAGTACTCTTTCCCTCTCTCTGGCATTTTATGTGCCCCAGTCTAATAGAATGCAGGCTTCCTGCCTTGCGCTATAGTTTTCTCCATATGTTTGCCCTCCTTCTCCTATGTAGAGCAGAGCCTTGGGAAAAAAGAGAGGCCATAATTTGGGGAACAAAGGCAGACTTAAGGAAAGAGCTTCAGTAAGAACTCAGAGTTGGGAGATACAGGGGGAAAAAAAAAACAATAGCACACTACAATATACCATTCACAAAAATACATTCCAAATGAACTAAAAAACTAAATGAATAAATATGAAATATTAGAAATAGATATGATGGTGGATAAACAAAGTATAGAAGACCTTCTTAAACAAGATGCAAAAACCATGAAGGAAAAGATAACTCATTTTAGGACCTTAAAAATTTTAAATCTTATATGAAAAAAACTCTATAAATGCAATTTCAAAAAAAAACAACAATGTGGGATAAAACATTTGTGGCGTACATAACAGACGTTAATAGATAGAACATAAAAACCGCCCCCAAATCAATAAGAAGACCAATAAGTCAATGGAAAGGTGGGTTGAGGACAGTTATAGGGAATTCACAATATGAAATATGCTTAGTCTCATGGAAATCAGGCAGGAGGGATGTAAAATGAGATATCATTTTACAAATCAAACTAATGAAAAGGAAAAAGATTGACAACATCCAGTGTTTGCAAGGATGTGATGAATGGCTCTCCCATTGGTGGTGGAGATATAAACTGGTACAGCCCATATGGAGCACCATTTAACAGTATCCATTAATATTTTCAATATGAATTCCCTAACACCTAACAATGCCACTGCTGTATATCTCCCTAGAGAAGCATTTATACACATACACAAAGAAGTATATAAAGAATGCAATAGCCAAAAACTGGAAACAAATGCCATCAGAAAAAAGGGTTAGATAAATTGTGGTACAGCCATATTTTGAAATAACCTATGGTAGATTAAATAAAGGAGGTAGATCTTCATGTACTGTCATAGAACTCTCTCTAAGTTTTTTTTTAAAAAAGCAAGTTTCAGAACAATATCAACAGTATAATATCATTCATGTAAATTTTGTTAAAATATGAAACAAAATTATCTATTTATATAGATATACTTACATGTATGTGATCATGGGTGGTTGGAACACCAGATAATAGCCATTACCCCTGGGTGGGAACAGGAATTGGGTGGGAAGTCAAGAGAGCTTTTTGCATTATTTATATTGTTTGAATAGTCTGCAAGGAACTAATTTTGTGGAAATTTTTTTTTCTTTTAATGAGCAATGAATATTTTAAAAAGCAGATTTTTTTTTAAAGATTTTATTTATTTATTTTTCCCCCCAAAGCCCCAGTAGTTGTATGTCATAGCTGCACATCCTTCCAGTTGCTGCATGTGGGACGCGGCCTCAGCATGGCCGAAGAAGCGGTGCGTTGGTGCGCGCTCGGGATCCGAACCCAGGCCGCCAGCAGCGGAGCGCGCGCACTTAACCACTAAGCCACGGGGCCGGCCCCAAAAGCAGATGTTTTAAACTAAAAATATTGGGCTTGAAGACATGGTTCTACTAAATTAATCCATGATTTTTTATAGTTTTCTCATCTGTAAAATAGGCAACACCATACCTTCTCTTGTGGCTTTTATAAGGAGCCCATGAAATGATGCAAGGGCCATTCAGAGGAAACATGTCCATTATCGCCACTTGATTCCTTAGGGACCTGTGGTAGGTTTGACATTCAGATGATTAGCAAAAGACCTGTTAGGTCCAGAACCTCTGTGAGCAGATGAAGAGGCACAGAGAGGGAAAGAGGTTTGCTTAGGACCGCTCAGCTCATAAATGGTGGAGCTGAGGGCTTTGACTCTCAAGCCACAGGAGGAGGAAAGTAGTAGAAACAGGGTCTTCTCCTCAGCAAAGCCTCAAGGGATCAGGCAAAATTCCCAAAGTCTCCTCCTAACTGGGAACAGCTCTGGGTTTGGGAGGAGATTGTTTGTATGTTTATGCCTGAAAAGTAGAATTAATTTTAGATGCTGAATTTGGATTTTGTACAGGTGTCCAGAGACCTGTGGGCCTGAAGCCTGCTTTAAATAAATTGAATAAACGGCTGTTGATGACATCAGCTATTTTTACCTTGACCTCTTCTGACCTTTGCCCCTCCTCTCCACCTGTCCTGTGGGCACCCCACCAACAGAGGGCTCTCTTCCCCTTGTAAGAGCCGACCGATTTGTAAAGAGCCAGTTTTGGCATCTATATTCTCATAAAAGTAGACATTTCTGGGGTTTTTTTGTGTTTATTTTTTTGGTGAGGAAGCGTAGCCCTGAGATAACAACTGTTGCCAATCCTCCTTTTTTTCCTGAGGAAGATTAGCCCTGGGCTAACACCTGTGCCCATCTTCCTCTACTTTATATGTGGGATGCCTGCCAGAGCATGACTCGACGAGTGGTGCATGAGTCCACACCAGGATCCGAACCTGCAAAACCCGGAATGCCAAAGCGGAGCGAACAAACTTAACCACAGGGTCACCAGGCAGGCCCTTCTTTTTTTTTTTTTTTTTAATTGACTCCCATTAGGGTAAAGAAAGTGATTATTTTTTGGAGAGGGTGTCTAACTTAGGCTATACTCAGTCTTCAGAACACTTTTTCTACATTTACTAGAGGTATGTTGACCACCCCACGATTTCCTAGCATTTCTTACTAGAAAAACATGGAGACACGGAATTAAATGTGTCTTCTCCATACAGCCTAGCCTCATTCAGCCAAATCAGGGCTGGGCAGCGTTAAGCTCTGAGGAGACAATGATCCCTGGATGACTTGCTGTCTAGCGAGGAGACTAACCCATAATCCATAATGGTAACAGTATGATCTGTGCCATGACGTCAATGTGTACAAGCTCCAGACCCTGCCTGCCTAGGAAAATGTGTCAGAGGAGGTGACATTTCAGCCAACTCTGAAAGCATGCAAGGGTATTTGCTTGGCAGAGAGGTGTGGTATAAATGGGGGCTTGGCAAGAGACAAGGCAGAGAAGGGACACAGAGTCTCTGTCATGAATATCCTTTCACTGTGTAAGGAGTTTGGACTTGATCCTGGAGACAGTAGGGAATCATTGAAGCGTTTTCAGCTACGAGAGTAACATGATACTAAATGCATTGTTGAGAAAGTATTCTGGCCATGGTGTCGAGGACCAACGAGAGGGGCCAAGGCTGAATACAGAGAGACCATTAAGAAACTGTGGTGATGGTCCAGGCAACAGATGTTGGAGGCCTGAACCAAGGCAGTGCCTGTGAGGACAGAGCAAAGTGGAAAGGTTCAAGAGCATTTAAGAATTAGAATCAATGGTGATTCAATAGTGATTTAATCAATAGTGATTAGATGTGAGAAGTACATTAGAAAGATATATGTCGGGGATGTATCAACAGGAAGTAAGCCTCACTCAAAAGGGTTCTTCTGCTGAGATTTTAATGAAAGCACTATTTACAAAGGTGTGGTTTGGGTAACAGGAGCCCGCAGGTAGGTGAGGCACCCCAAGATTAGCAATCACAGAAAGCCGTTACCACCCATAGGCCTGAAGGGCAATGTGGGGACAGCATTATTAGAGAGAGGTGGAGCTGTTGGAGAGCCACCCAGCAGGAGCTGAACCCTGGTTAGGCAGGGAGGCAGCAGGGAAGAGAGGGTGCAGGGAGGAATAACACCCTGCCTGGCTCTCCTTCTGCCTTCTCATCTCCTTCTGGTGCCTCCCACTGGCTGAACAAGAAAGCAGAGGTCAGCCTTTCTGGGCATAGAGCAGGGTAGAGAAGGGTGGAGAAGGGATGTAGGGTGGGCAAATGGAGACAAGCTAGCACAATGGGAACTCCCTTAGCTGCAAGTGAAAGAAACCCACTTAAACTGGCTTTGGCCATAATTAAAGGGGGGAAGAGGTAGCTCACTGACTCATGTAACTGGAAAGAACACGTAAATTCAAAGCCTTACAACATCATCAATATTTCTCTCTCCTTATCAACTCCTTTTTTGCCCTCGATGCCAGCTATGTTCTCCCAGAACTATCCAAACATCAAGGAGCATGACTACCAGCACCTCCAGGATCACAAATTGAGAGCTTATATTTCCAGAAAAGAGCAGGAACTCCTCCTTCTCCAGTTCAGAAGGGCCCTGGCATGGGTCTGATTGCCTGGCTTGGGTCACATGCAGTGGTGGGCTAGAGCCAGCTAGGACCAGCTCCCAACTCAACGTATAGCTTGACAGCTTGACAGTGGCCACCGTGGGAGTATTTACACCAGGGAAATCAGCAAATGTTATAAATCAGGGATCTTCTTTACATTGTTGTTAAATATTTACCAGCACACCATCGACTCAGGGCCATGTGTGTCAGGAAATGCTGTGTCATGGTATATCAGGCTGGGTCTTGAGCCAAGTTGTCCTGAGTAGCTAAGGACATCGTGGCGCAGAGGAGTGTCTCTAGAGGAGGAGTTGGTACTGTTATCAGAATTGGGGAGATGCTGGGCTGAAAAGACAACCTACATAGCACATTACAGGGGGTGAAGGAGAGGGAAGCATCAAAGATAATATCCCAGATCTTGGGCAACTAGGTGGATGGTAAGGTGGGGAGCAGAGGTCTGGAGGGAAATGATGAGCTCATGTGTAAACAGGTTGAGTATGAAGTTCCTACCATCATGAGTAAGGCAAAATCCTTACTCTTAAGTAACATATACTCTAACAAGACAGGTAGTGAATAAAGTGCAAATATCTGTCCTACAAGGCCAAATGTAGGTGCCACCAAAGAACACAAACCACATATCTGGAATTCTATCTGCTGCTTCAAACTGTAGTTCCCAGCACTGCCCCAGCTCTTTGCTATACCCAGGAAGGTGCCAGGTCTACAAAGGGATTCTACACACACCACCTACCTGGGACAGGTGGGCAGAAGGGAAGCAGTGAGACAGGACTGTGCTCGACTAAGTGAGAACTTACAAACCCTGTCTTGGTGAACAGGGAAGAGAAAGAAGGCAAATTGGGTGTGGCTGTCAATGTGATATATGGGAAGATTCATTCTCCTGGAACCCAGAAATCAGGATTCAAGGCCCAAGTCTTTTGCTCAGAGGCTTGTAGCTGTGCCTACATGACTGGTCTGAGGGCTTGATAGCAAGACTGCTGTGGTAGGCAGAACGATGGCCTCCAAAGACGCCCACGTGCCAGCCCTGGACCTGTGAACATGTTACCTTAAACGTTGCAAAAGGGATTTTGCAGATGTGATTAAGGTTAGGACCTTGAGATGGGGAGATTGTAGAGGATTATCCCAGTGGGCCAAATGGGACCACAAGTGTTCTTATAAGTGAAAGAGGAAGGCAGGAGTGATGTGATTGCTGACTGGGGGCCACAAACCAAGGAATATGGACGTTCTAGAAGAAGCTTTTAGAAGCCGGAAAAGGCAAGAAACAGACTCTTCTCCTAGAGCCTCCAGAAGGAACCCAGCTCTGCAGACACCTTGATTTTAGCCCTGTGAGACCCACTTTGGACTTCTGACCTCCAGAATTGTAAAATAATAAATCTGTGTTGCTTGAAGCCACTAAGTATGTAGTAATTTGTTACAGCAACAATAGGCAACACAGCTCCTAAAAATATCTGGGAAACTGTAGCTCTGTGTCTGGACCAGACTGTTCTCAGACTAAGCCGTGTGAGCTGGGGACGCCGAGGCTAATAATGAGGACTGAGTTCATGCCAGAATTGATGGACTCGTATGGTGGCCTATGGCCATGCTACATGCTGTCCTTCTCTGAGACTGATGAAGTCCTCCTGGGCAATGCGAGATTGGGTGATGTGTACATAATGCTGGGCCAGGAGGGGACAAGGGAGCTTCCAGAATGGCTGTTTACCTTCACACACTGGATGTTATCATCCATGGCTGTGCAAACCTTGGTCCAGAAGTTTGCACCCTGACTGCCCTCAGAAATGTTGCTATTCTCTGTGCTCTGTGCCCCAACTATACTGATTCCCTTCTGCATCTTTTAGAGAAGTGAACCTTGAGTAATTCGCCCAAGCAGTGGCTATATCTGGCCTTCAATACACATGTCTGTCAATACTTTGGTGGTGCAGTGGGCAAGCGGCTTAGTCTGAAGGGTAGTAATCAGAAGTCTTGGCCTTGTTTGGTACGGCCTTGAGGGGTAGAGGTTTCAGAATGCAGATTTCACCCCAGTTAGGTAAAGATTTCTTTAATGGTCTTTCTAACTATCTATTCTGTTACTCCCATGTAGCAAACTCCATTTTTATAGATTGACAACACTACAAATTAATATGTTCTTCTAAAGTTAAGTCGATTTTCTTGAGGTAAATATTCCCACCATGGCCAACGTCAAGCTATCAGTGTGATGCTGATGAATGCAGAGCTGGGAAGAGATGTGCACAGCTGGCTCTCATGAGCCAGTAAGAGCTGGCTGCAGCATATACACCACTGCTTGTCTCTACCCTTCACCTCGCTTTCTCATTAGGAGAAGGGACACCCCAACAGAAGCATGGTTGGAATGCTCATGGAGCACTTATGATGGGCCAGGTACTGTTCTAAGAGCTTTACAACTAAAAAATGTAATTCTCATAGCAACTCTATGTGGTAGGTAGAAATGAGGAAACTGAGGCAGGGGTGAAATAACCAGTCCAATGTCATAGAGCTGATATTAGGAGTGCTGAGATAGGAACTTAAACAATTTGTTTCAGTGTCCATAATCTTTAAAACTACACTAAAGTGTTCTCTAAAACCGCACTGTCTAATAGAGTAGCCAGTGGCCACATTGGCTATTGAAATTGAAATTAAATTAAATTAAAAATTCAGTTCCTCACTCATACTGGACTCATTTCAAGTGCTCAATAGCCACATGTCACTAGTGGCTAGTGTACTGGACAACACAGATATAATACATTTCCATTATCATAGAAAGTTCTATTAGACAGTGTTGCTCTAAATAGATTGTCAGAAAGAAAGAAACCACACATATTTGCTTGGAAACATGGAGAATTTAATTGCCTTTGTTGACTGCTGTAACATAAAAACTCAAAATACACAGTTTCATGTCTCTTTTGCTCTGAGATAATCAAATTCATTCATTTATTCATTCATTCGTTCAACACACATTATCTGAGCACCTGCTAAGTTCCAGGACCTGTGCTAGGTTCTGGATTTGAAAGATGAATAAAGGGACAGAGCACCTGCCTTCTAGGAGCTCACAATCGGATGGAGGAGGCAGACAAGTAAAAAGGCAATTAAAATGCCATGAGGAGAGTGTTTTTTTTTTTTTTTTTTTAAGTTTTTTTTTTTTTTTTTTTTCCCCCCAAAGCCCCAGTAGATAGCTGTATGTCATAGCTGCACATCCTTCCAGTTGCTGCATGTGGGACTCGGCCCCAGGATGAACGGAGAAGTGGTGCCTCGGTGCGCACCCGGGATCCGAACCCGGGTCGCCAGCATCGGAGCGCGTGCACTTAACCACCAAGCCATGGGGCCGGCCCAGAGGAGAGTGTTTTGATGGGGATTCAAGTGTAATGTGAGGACTCAGACAGGCAGCCAACCAAATCTAACACATTCAGGGAAGGCTTCACAGAAGGGGTGATTTCCAAACTGGATGTTGAAAGATGAATAGGAGTTGGCAGGTTTCAGGTATTTTAGATGGAAAGTTTTGAAATTCAAAGAGACACAGGAGAACATGGGTCACTCAGGGACCTGTGACTGAGTGAGTTTGACTAAAGTGTAGGATGCAGTAGAGACTCGAGAAGTAACTAGAGCAGAAGTCAGGTGTTCTCAGGTGGTGTGCTGAGCAGGAACAGATGGAGGCAAGGGGAGAAAGGAAAGAGAAAGAGTTTCACTTTGGACGTGCTGAGTTGGATGTACCTGCAGAACGTTTGAGGGGATGTGTGGGGAAGGAACTCAAGAGCAAGTTTGGGGAATACAGATTTAAGAGTATCAGCCTCAAGGGGTGATTAAATAGAGGGCCTGGCTGAGCTCACATGGGGAGTGTGTGCAGAGTGAGATGAGAATGAACCAAGAGTGACCGGAAGAAACAAAACCAACTCAAGGAAATGCCAACATATCAGGGCAGGTAGAGAAACAGAGCCAGAGAAGAAGACTGAGAAACCACATCAGAGGATCATCACAAGGAAGTGGTGTCCCAGAAATCAAGGGCTGGGACTGTCATCTGATGCAGAGAAGCCAAATAACACAAGGACTGAAAAGTACCCAGTAGAACTGACCTTGCTAAGAGCCATTTTAGTTGCGTTCAAGAAGCCAGTCTGCAGTGGGTTCAGGAAGAAATGGAAAGTAAAGAAAGGCAGATACTAACTATGAGAGACAAATTCGTTAAAAAGAAATGCTCAGCCGTGAAGATTATGATGGAAGAGTCCCCAGCATGTTTATTGACTGCATTGAAGAAGCCAGTGGACAGAGAAATGTCAAGGATCCAGGGTGGAGAAGGAATAATGAATGAAGCAAGTCCCCGAGGACATAGGAGGGGAAGGGGTCCAGAGCACAGGTGGCAAGTTTAGCTTTGGAGAAGGAGAGGGGCTCCCGTTCCACTGGTGTAAGAAAGAGGGGAGGGAAGGATGAGCACAGACACAATGTGCATGAAAGAGGAAATTGAGAGAATCCCATCTTCTGGCCTCTGTTTTCTCCATGAAGCAGGAGATGAGGTTCTGCTGAAAGCAGAGGACTCGAGGACAGGAGTGAAGGCCTGAAATAGATCCTGAGCAAAAGAGAAAGAGCCAAGGAGGAGCACATGAGGCTCTTCTGGGCTGTACGCAAAGGCCAGCTGAGGTCAGAGAGGGGGAGTCTGAGGGGAGGCCTGTGTTCAGAGGGGTGCTCTTTTCCTTGGCTGTGCTCAGCATCTCCAGGTACAGCAGAGGAAAAACAAGACAGTTGAATTAATCCAGGGTTGGGACTCTGCCAGGCAGGAAGGGAGAATGGGCAAAAAGGAAGGAGGGTGACGAACTGAGGAGGAAGGTGAAACACTAGAGTTTACATGAGGTCATAGAGTAGTTTGGGGGGAGAAAAGATACAGAGGTGAAAACGTAGGAAGCAATGACCAGGAAGTTAGATATCAAAAATGGAGAAATTATGGGTGATGACAGTGTCTAGGGTGTGGCCAGGAGAGAGTGTTAATGGAGAAAATGGAAAGACACCTGAAACTGAGTAAACAGAGAATCTGTGAAGCAAGAGAGTTAGATGATTTATGTTAAGTGGACTTCAAAGACACCAAATTTGAGGGAGAGGTGATGAAAAACAAGACCATGAATATGGAGGAATGACCAGCGATTGGCAGGCGACAGTGACAAAGAAGGGCAGAGGGTTTAGGAGGGAGGCTGTATATGAGGGTAGAAGAGTGATCAATGTGCCAATTGGGTCCCCGGGAGAAGGCTGGTGCCATGTCTAGGCCTGTAGTGTGGGGGCATGGAAGACCTGTCAGTCTTCCTGTGAAAGCTTCTAGAGAAGTGAGTATCCTCACAGAAGAACCCAATGCCAGTTGCAAGTATTCTGCAAAAAGGTGGCACATTTGCACAGTTTTCAAACAAAGTTTTTGGTATGTTTGCAGAGCCATTGGACAGGTTCACAGGGAGGCAGTAGGTCATTCTGAGGATGAAAGGGTGGAGATGGAGGAACTAACACCTTAGACAGAGATAAAAATATGGGGCCTGGTGGGATCACTTGAGTTCAAGATGTTAGCTAGAGCTCTGGGGTCAAGGGTGGCCTCAGGTGGTATAGAAAACTTGGTGACACCCCCCAAATGGAGGTCTTTGCTCCAGGATACCCCAAAACATTGGTGAGAACTTTGGGATCCCAGAAGATAAAAGGCCAACTAGGTTGGTTGATTCCCAAGACCCTCACTCTTGAGTGGAAACCACAGCAACCTCCCAGGAGATGAGGGCAAGTTGGTCACACTGCAAAGAGATCCTAGCCTAAGTGTGCAGAGTCCAGATTAAACATTCCTTCTGGTGAGAAGAGCAGAGGCCCCAGGGCATAGACAGTAAAAGAAATTAAGCAAAGGAAGTCATAATTATTCATTACTAAGACCAGAGATTTACTGTGAGCCAATGATGAAGTCTAAGCTGATAAAGACCCCCAGGCACATGGAACCAAATAAAACCCCCAAAGGCCAATTCTGCTGGACCCATGACCATCAGGTAGTGTGTTTCCAAGTTTCTCCCTCAGCTTTACCCTGAAAAGACTTCTTTAATCCTAGTAGGCCAATGGCCAGAAAAATCTCAGGTATTGTCCAAGTAGCCCCCACATCACAGGGAACCACAAGGCTTGGCAGTGAGGGTGGGGAAAGGAGACACTCCCTCTCTGTGTTCTAGAAATAGTTTCAGAATAATACTTGGAACCCAGACTTTAAACTGAGGCCTCAAGTGGTTTGGGCAAAGCCCTCACCTCTTTCTGCATGTTCACCATTCTGAAGAGGTTTCATTTCTCTGAGTAGAACCTAAATGGCCCAAACACAGCCCCTTCTTCGTAACTCCACACTAACTTGAGGAAAGTGGACATCACTCATCCTTGTCAGCCAAATCCTGCATATTCTAGACCATGGGTGAGTCCAGCAGCCCCAGAGACACCTGCCTGCACAGATGGGTGTACAGCCACCTGAGACTCCAGGTACCTGTCACTCTCAGCTCAGATGCCATCTCCTCCATGACACCCTCCACTGCGTGCACACACACACACACACACACACACCAGACACACGCCCTCCATTGCCTCCCCTCTCTCTGTATAGTTTACCATTACATTTATTATTACAGTGTGCTTTAATTGTTTACATTTTGCCTCCCAGCTACATTTGGAGCTTCTTTAACCCTAGGGTCTAGCACCCAATAAATATTTGTAGGTTGAGTTGGGCTGGGCTAGGCGGGGATAGAGTTAAATTGAATTGAACTGAATTAAAATGAATCAAAATGACACTGGGCACACACAGCAGTACATTCCCACAGCAACAAGATTGAGCGTTACTCTGACTTCCTCAACAAGGGTCTCCCCAGAAGCCCACCACCCCCAGAATGTCTCCCCATACCCCAGCCATGGTGCCCCTTCCCCACCAGGTAGGTCCTCATTGCTTCTTATGGAACAGAGCTGGGGCCGGCTCATTGCTGGGCTCGGCCATGACCTGCATGGGCTGGCTGTTCAGGGCAGCCTCGCGCATCTTGTGGTACATGAACTCGTTCTGGCGGAACATGCGCAGCTCCATTTCCGTCTGCACCCGCATGGCCTGTGGGACGCACACACACCATAAACCCATAAACAGTGATGACAAAGCCTCCAGGACGTGTTGGTGTCTGACCTACCTTGGCCCTTTTGGAAAGGGCAGACAATGGGGTAAACGACTACTAGGCAAATGTACCCCCTCAGAGGACACACACTCACACATATATACACACTGTCTGTCACACACACACACACACACACACACACACGCTCATCCACTGGGGGCCTAACATCCTGGCAGGGGGCTCAGTTTTTTAGGAGAGGGAGTCAGACCCCCAAGAAAGTAGCTTGAGGGATTGTTCTTGGCAGAGAATGTTCTCAGGAACTGCCAAGTGGGCACCTGGGTTTGAACCCTGGCTCCTGCACTTAAGTCTCACCTAACATTGTGGGACCTTAGGCAAGTGACTTAATCCTTTCAGCCTTTAGTTTCCTCATACATGAAATGGGTGAGGTTCCTTCGTATTTTACAACGGGCTGGGAAGATCATAATGTGTGACAAATAGAAAAGCCCTCATTCTTCCATATGTCCATTCAAGAAATATCTATCACAGACCAGGCACCATTGAGAGGCCAAGAATACAGCAGAGAATTAGATGACAAAGACTCTGCCTTTGACAAGCTTAATATACTAGACATAAAGTTAGTCCTCTCATACATTTGATGACACCAAAGTCTCTCCTCTTCCCCTCTACTACACTGCCTGAGGACAGTCCTTTGGACTCTGTCACTCTCAAATAAGCCAGCCCTTCAAAGCACAAAGGAAACCAGCAGCTATTAAGAGCATGTCATTTGCCAGGCACTGCTCTAAGTGCTTTTCACACATTAACTCATTGAACCCTCATCACAACCCTATCCTTCTCCATTTTCCTGATGAGGAGACTGAGGCCCACACATTCAATACCTGCAGTCACACAGCTAGAAAGTGGTGAAGCTGGAATTCAGTCCCAGCAGTCTGATTCCAGAGCCTGTGCTCCCCATCTCTTCTTTATGTAGCACAGTTTCTAATATACGTGGCTGCACGCACATGTGCACAAACCATTATTTAGGTTTTCTCAGTCCCAGCTTGGAGCATGTTGGGGTTCAAGTCTCAGCTTTGCCATCCACTTGCTATGTGCCTATGGACAGATTACTCCCCTTCCCTGGGCCTCAGTTTCTTCCTATGTAAAACAAGGGGAGTGGGCTCAAGCATTTCTGAGTTCCCTTCTGGTCTAGCTGGCAATCTATGGACTTTCCAAAAGCAGAGTCCAGAACTCAGCTCTCACGCTCAGAGAGCCTAGACCAGGGAGAGAGGCCCAGCCCTGAGATGCTACTTGCCTCCAAATCCTTGGTGATTGGGTGGGAGGGGCCATGTGTCACCAGGAGAATGGCATAGGCTTTGCAGATCATCCCGTGCCCCACCTCAATGTTGCCAGCATGCCAGTTGGTCAAGCCTGCACGCATCACAGCCATGCCCAGTTGGGCATTGTTGGGGTGGTAGAGCTTCCTGTAGGGGCATAGCAAATAACCATAATATAATCCTGTCCTTCCTTATATCTGCACAGCATTTGACAACTTATAAAGTGCCCTCACTAATTAAGTCCATCTGCCTCCCACCAGCACTGTGAGGCATCTGCAGCCCATCAAGGAGAGACTGAGGGATGGGGAGGTGGGGTGAGTTGCCAACACCCCACATAGTGAGGCTGTGAGAACTGAGACTCTGACCTAGAACAAGGAGCCAGGTACTCACAGGGAAAGGGGTCAGGACTGTGCTATAAACTTGAGTACAGAAAGCTGGGAGCGCCCGGGAGCATCCCCCATCTCCGTGGAAAGCAATAGGAAGTTCAGGGGGACAAGATAACTGGACTGTTCTCCCTGGGACAGAATTGTATTTCCACCTCCTCTGCACCCTCCAAACAGAGCTTCCTTTTACCATGTTGTACAGTTTTCCCATATTTTGTTTATGAGTATCATCCTCTCAAAAAAATGAACCTTCTCGTGCCAAATTGCTCATTTGGCCAGCAATACAAAGTCACATACCAATGTGGACAGAGAAGGCAAGAGGGAAGGCAAGGGCATTGCATTTTACAATTTATAAGCAAGGATGGCTGACATCTCTCTCTCTTTTTTTTTTTGTTAAATAAAAGATAGCTCTCAGGATTGCTTGTGTTGATTGTCAGGGGAAAAAACCTTTCAAAGCACTTAAAATCAAGCTGGATTTAGCCTTAAGGAAACCAAAAGCAGAAGATGCCACTCAAGCGATAGATGACCTAGAGGATTTCGGATGACAAATAGGTTTCTTCTCGGGTACCAACTCTAATTATCTGGTCATTACTGCTCAAGCACCATGGTAAAAAGGAGCATGATAGATTACTGATGCCTGCTGTGGGTGCAGGAAGGAGAGGTAGCAACATGTGTGCCATCTATTTGCCATCCCTGGAATAGACACATTTCCAGGAGACTATCTGAGACCCAGAATTGTCACCTACATATAGCCATCCACCATCTTCCTGGCGTAGTACGAGGCCTCCTCAAAGGCCTGAAGGTAGGAGAGGACCTCTGAAACAATGCTCAGTATCCGCAGCATGTAGAGGTTGGTGTCGGCAAACACTGGCTCCTGCTTTTGCAGGCACTCCCGGCATAATTTCACAACCTAGAGGAGACACAGGCCCTGTCCATTACCATTGCACCAGAGCACATGCTTAATTCACCTGTAGGAGCATCATGACGACATTGGGAACTCATTCTTTTAAGGCTGAGGAAATTGCTGACAGAGGTGCGGAAAGCACCAGTTTGTGATTTAACAGCAAAATGGTCCTATTTGGCTAAGATGTACGGATGGAAAGGGTAACAGTGGGAGATATGGCTGGCATGGCAGAACGAGAAGTTTTCATATATAAGTAAGTCAGTAGGTAGCAGGGAGTTATGAAAGATATATAGATGATATGGATATAGATATAGATACTCTCACAACAATGCAATGAGATAGGCACTACTAATATTCCCATTTACCAGATGAGAAAACTGAAGCACAGAGAGAGTAAGTGGTTTGTCAAAGTCACACAGGTAGTGAGCGATGGAGCAAGGATTCATACCAAGCAGTTGAGCTTTATCTTAATCAACATTCCTGTGATTCTCCACCCTGGCTGTGTTCTGGGATCCCTTGGACGCCTTTTTAAAAACATCAGTATCTGCGTCCTACCCCAGACCAATTGAAACCAACTATCTGGGGAAGGGACCTTGGCATCTGCAATCTGTATGTGCCCCTGGGTGGTCCTTATGCACAGTGAGGTTGGACAATCATGCCCCGCTAGAAATGTGCAAGATGGATTGGCAGAGAGGGAGGCCCCCAGGAGGCTGAGAGACCCACCAGGAGGCTGCCACATTCGTCCTGGACTCAGGCTTTTTTGACTGATTCATGTGTAGACACAGGCTTAGGTTGCACTCTACCAAATCAGAGGGCTCTCGAGGTTTCGGTTTCTCATTGTTCTCCTCTTCTTCCCTTGCTGCTGTCATGGGAGAAATGCCACACAATTCTATCCATTTCAAATGAGTGGGAACTAATTTTTCTCTGACACTCTCCCAAAAGCCCATGAGGCAACTGGGTGGCAGTGCAGCAACATGTAGGTTGGCAATCAATCCCTCCTGAAGACAATCCTCTTAAACCCATGGAGGCAGTATCCAGCCCCACACCTGGCCCTGACAAGTTCGAATGGAAAAGAGGAGAAATGAAGTGGAGGAGAGAAGCCAGAGGAATGGAACCACAGAGCCCTCCTGATTGCTCCAGCTCCTACTCATGTCTCTGACATAGATTTTCCATACCGCACAATAACACTTTGTTCATGTGACCCTCTCCCCCACCTGACAGAACTCCTAGGGGACAAGGAGTATGTCTTGTGTTGGTCACCCGAGTAAGGGCTCAAATTTGTGCAATGAATGAGTGAGTAAAGGAGAATGAAGATAAGGGAAAAGCAGATAGAAATGAACAGAAATTAATCTCCCCCACTGCCATGCCCTAGTGGCATCCAAACTCAGCTACACACCTGAGTTGTTTAAAGAGCTTGGAAAAAAACACTGACTCATGGTCCCTGTGGTCTATTGCAGATTGGGTGAATCACATTTTAGGCAGTGAAACACAAGAATCTGTATTTCCAACAAGCTGCCTAGGTGAATTCGATGCAAGCACTCTGCAGGTCAGTGTTTGGCAGTGGGTCTCAGCTTTGGGTGCACGTTGAAATGACTTGAGAGCTTTAAAAACCCTGATGTCTCGGTCCCACCTGAAGAGACTCTGATGAAATTGTCCTGGGGCAGGGTGTGAGCATCAGGACTTTTCAATGATTCTAGCGTATAGCCAGTTGAGAACTCCTAGTGCTTTAGGAACCAGGGAGTGCTCAGTTAGTAGAGATTGGAAACTGTAGCCAGAACCCTACAAAATTCAATTCTGGGAAAGCAAGAAACCCACTGCCATCTCCATTCATCCATCTCTGATGCCAACCTGAGATATCACAGATCCCCCAGGGACATTTGTCAGGCTGCCTGTGCCCTCCACAGACCCAGTTCCAGTGGGTTGAACATACCCCTAAGAGGTGCTACAGGCTTAAGCAAGAAGAGTCATGGTCTCAACCAAGGGACATCTTCCAGAAAAACAACCTGCTTGGTAGCCTTCCCATCTTTACCCCACCCCATTTCCCTCTTACTAGAGAAACTTTCTGCCCTCCTCCCCACCCCCAGCCCCTATAAAAATGAATTCTTACCTCATGGTACAAACCCTCAGATCGAGCCTTGTCGATTTTCTCCAGTGTATCCTTCGAGAATTGTACTAACTCCTTCACCACATCCTGAGAGGGCTGTGAAAGTGAGGGACATTGAGCTGGAGACCCCTTCATGAGGCAACCCATTGCATCTTTGAATAGCTGCCATCTATGACATTCATTGTAGTGCAAGATCAATGTCTTCCTCATTCTGAATGCTTCATTTCTGTAAACGCTGCTCAAGATCCCTATAGCTTTTCCAGCTCCCTCATCATGCTCTGACTCATGTTGTGTTTTCCATTGACCAAACCCCAGAGTCTTGCTGCCAGCCAGTCATCTCCACCCTATGTTCATGCCTGGGCTTTTGGACCCCAGTGTAGAATCGGACATTGATCCCTGTTGTATTTTCTCTGGGATTTTGGATTCTCATTCTATCACACAAAATATTTTCCATTCTTCCTCTTTACTTCAAGTCAACCACATATTCTATAGGTATGCCCTTGCATTTTTGTGTTCACACAAGTCATTGATTTAAATATTGGCCAGCACAGGGCTGAGGACAGAGGCTTAGGGATTGACCAAAAAATGGTACTCCAGTTTGCCACTGGAGTTCATTAAAGAGGGCCCTTGAGGCTATGAGCATTCAAACCCTTCCAAGTGTCTTAGCATCCAGTTCATATTTCCTTGTCTTGACCAAAATTATATCATGAGAAAATGTGTCAGCTGTCTCTGTGAAATCTAGACTCAGTAGGCTTACTGCATTTGCCTGAGCAGTCTAATGATCTTGTAAACAAACCAAAGAGGTACCATAATTAAGAAGCCCATGAGGACATCATAATTTTGAAGAAAAAGTGGCAAATTTCTCAAAGTCCAAAAGAAAAGTTTACTTACTATGCTTATAAATATCAGAAGCTTTTTTCTGATTTTTTTTTTTTTTTTTTTGCTTAGGCAAATCTGATAAAACTTTTTTCTAAAATGAAAATAACTTTATTATTTATTCTGACTGTAAAATTGATATATGGAAACTGTAAAAAATTAAAATATATGAAAAAAAATATGGAGAAAAAAGTAGAAATCCCCAGAAGCCACTCAGAGATGGACACAGCATTTTGAGGAACATTTTCCAATGCATATATACAGGAATAATATTTAAAATATTTAACAACTGGTACAGGAAAAGCACTGACCAATCAAAATAGACACTAACCATCAACAGCAAGTATGTTTATATGGCCTTATCAGTGCATACTGGCTGAATTGCAGTTCCATATGTGTGCACATGCATGTGTGTGTGTATATGCTAATAGCATCAAATATTTTTCTAACTGGAATCGTATCATATTTCTGTCTATAGTCTGTTTTTTTCCCTCAGTAGATTATGGATATTTTCCTATATCAATATAAAAATATATTGCCATTTTTAATGACTATAGAGTTTTCCACTGTGTGAAGCTAGAATAATCCATTAAACCAGTTCTCCAGTTGTTCAATTTTTTCACTATAAGGAATTGGGCTCAACAGCTCCATTAAGATTTGCTGCTTACATTGTTTTGTGAGGTCACCTTCACTAAACTAGCAAAAAGTAACAGGAGGATGGGCATTTGTTCTCATCACAATCCACCCTCCTTTATAGATGGAGATCAGGATCTTCCCTCAGTCTCCCAGCTGTCCTGAGCCAGTTCTGCAGTGTCCATCTTGCCGTATGAGAGGCTCCTGGCCAGGACAGCTTGCTTCAGGGTCAGGATCTCCTAAAGAAGAGGGCATTATGTTTATTCTTCTACCCACCTCACCTAGTTTGGTTTCTGCAGAGTTCTTGACTATCCCTACAATTTTGACTATCCTCGCTTCCATATCCTTCTGTATCTGGGCCTTCCTGGAATTCTTTTGTGTGTCTACCTGTACTTGTCCCATGGCCTGACCCCAGAGTGATGCATCCATCAATGCTGTGACTTCTGCTTGCAGGTCTCACTATGACTCAACCTTTGTCTTGATCTTTGATTTGGCTGAGATTTCTGGCTTCTGGCTGCCTTCCTGCCTGGCTACATGACTGCTGCCTTCCAGCCCCAGAGTGCTACTTAGCCTTCTGTTAACTCAGATCTGGTCTTGGTTCCAGACAAATCATTTCAGTGCATGTCTGCTTTTCCAGGCCCCTTTGAACCAAGCAGATAAGTAAGAGGGGGCCTATGTCTCACCCGGTTGTGCAGGGTTCTGTGACTGGTGGCCCAGAGGTGTACCACCAATCTGTCAAACTTACATTTTTCGTTTCATCCATAGCTTGTTGCCCAAGTAGTGGCTCATAAAATCACATCTAGTTTATGAACACTAGCCTCTAATGTACTGTAAGTTCCATCATCTTTAAAACTCAAAATTCTTAGTGACTCTTCTAGAGTAATCACTAGCTTGCAGGGTAGATTCAGAGAACACCAAGTGGTTAGGCATTAAGAAAAGTCTTGCTCAATTGGATGTTGTGAGGAAAAGTGTTACTTTAAGCTCTGGAAGCGAATCAAATTTTTTCAAGGAGGCAACTGCCAAGGTTCCCAAAACAACCTGGCCGGAAGGTTGTTAATTAACACGTGAAATATGTGATAAAGCTATTCTGAGAAGAGAAATGGAGCTGTTCCACTTGGCTCCACTTTTCAAAGTAAAGGCCGGAAAATCTGATCTGCAGAAAGGATTTAAGGAGCCCCACAGAGAGAGACTCTCCTCTCCAGGAGCATCAAAATAAATAGAAAACAGGGAGGAAAAGAGAGGGAGGAGCCCAGAGAGGAGCCAGAGGAGGGGGAGATGCCAGTGGAGGAGGAGCCAGAGGAGGAGGGAGAAGAACTAGAGAAGGAGGGGGAGAAGCCAGCAGAGGAAGAGCCAGAAGAGGACTGAGAGAGGGAAAGAGGGATGTGGGTTCTCCAACTCTGAAAAATTGGCACACTTGTGTTATCAAAACTATGGATGAGGACTGGAGAGAGAGAAAAAGAAAAACCTAAGCAGCTGAAACAAGGAGGGTCCAAGGCTACAATTGAGGGGAATGTTATACATTTTGGTGTTGTTTTCTCCTTTTTAAACATTTGGTTTTTGTTTTTATCCAGGTTTAAGTATACATATATTAAGGAGTCAGGAAGAATTTTGACACCAATTGAAAGTCTGAGGATGGGTCACAAAGGCTGGTGTACTGAGTGGGGCTTATCAGGCTGGGATAAAACATTCTAAGGAACAGAAAGAAAAGCAACTGTGACTACATCACAGATAGATCAGCTCAAAGGAACTGTTAATAAGTTAGTCCAACTCTCCATTTTACAGACCAGGAAACTTAGGCCGGAAAGGAAGAGACTTGCCCAAGCTCAGACATTCATCAGTATTCTTTCTACTACATTATAATGGCCTCTTATTATGCCTTAAAGTTATACCCAATTTTTTCCTGATCAATTTTTTTGGTTGAGTTATTTTTATTTTATTTATTTATTTTAATAGAGAAATCCAATTTGATATAAAAATAACAGAAAGATTTGCTTTGAATCCAGGTAGGTTCAAGCAGAAATCATCAATCTTTTATATCAAGCGAGATGCCAACTCTGCAATTCAGACTGGAAGACATGGGGATATTGTCACCAGCTGGTAACAGCTGATCTAAAGTGAAAGGACAGACACTAACAGCCACACATCACCTACTTAACTATTGGAACTGCCAGGTAAACATTGAAAGATTTAGGGAAATGACTACATGGTTGTTTCATTTAATTTTAGAAGGGAGAAAAGAGGGTCTGGCCTCGTAACAAACAAATTAAGTAGTGGTGGGAGCAAGTTATGAAACAAATACCCAGGGCCAGGCACCAGGAGGGAAGGCTGGCTGGCTTGCAGATAAGACACAGGCTATCCCGCAGGTTCTGGAAGGTCGAAGTGAGCGTGGATGCGGTAGCTTATTCTTTTCTGTAGCTTCTACGGTACCGTGCTCGGTGCCTCACATGCATGCCAGTACACATTTCCTGGAATACAAAACCTTTGATTCTGTGAAAAGGGGCTTGTTCCTATAAAGAACATATTAGTCCTTGGGTCCCAACTGCTTTGTATCCTGCCTGGGAGAGATGACGCTGAACTTCTCCACATCAGGCATCACTGATCTGTTGCTTACAGCTTCCTCTTCCTACTTCTGTCTGTATCAAGACCAGCAATGCTTGCACAGACATGTGGGCGCATGGATCCGTGTGTGTGAGTGCCTGTATCCCTTTAATTTTCATAAATGGTAGCATACAGTGTTATGGGTTGAATTGCATCCCCCTAATTCATATGATGAAGTCCTAACCCCCAGCACTCAGAATGTGACCTTATTTGGAAATAAGGTCATTGCAGATATAATTAGTTAAGATGAGGTCCTACTGGAGTAGGGTGGGCCCTTAATCCAATAGGACTGGAGTCCTTATAAAAAGAATACCCTGTGAAGAGAAAGAGACACGCAGAGAGGGAAGACAATGTGAAGAGACACAGAAAAGACAGCCATCTACAAGTCAAGGAGAGAGGCCTGGAACAGATCCTTCCCTCACAGCCCTCAGAAGGAACCAACCCTGCTGACACCTTGATTTCAGGATTCCAGCCTCCAGAACTGGGAGACAATAAATTTCTGTTTTGTAAGCCCCCAGTTTGGGGTTCTTTATTATGGCAGCCCTAGCAAACTAGTGCTCATGGCAATGTTTGACCCCTTAATTCTTTTCTGTTAAGAAATAGAGCTCATTCTACATCTGTACACAAAGATCTACCTCATTAATTTTACTGAATACAGGGCATTTTTGTAATTTAAATATTTCCCTATTGGTGGTTATTGAGGTTTTATTCAATATTTTGTTGTTCCCGACACTGCAGCATGGTATCTCTTTATACATATGTCTTTGTGTACATATGCAAGTATATCTACAGCATAAATTCTTAGAAGTAGAACTGCTTGGTCAAAGGGTAAAAAATATTAGATATTAAGAATAAAAATAAGTTATTGGCAAAAAAAAAAAGAGAGAGTCTAGAATAGCCAGGGAATAAAAGAGAGAGATGAGTCCAATGGGGGAATAGTGTAACTGAACGTTAGCACCAACAGGTGGAGTAATGAAGTAATCAAGAGGGGCCCACCATCTGGACCTAAAAGTCAGCCTTTGCTTGTAGCCTTTGCTCTAACCAGAAGCAAATTTCTGCCATACATAGGATGCACAAGTTAATTAAGAAGTATATTTGTTTCTCCAAAGAAGATATACAGATGGCCAACAGGCACATGAAAAGATGTTCAACATCATTAACTATCAGGGAAATGCAAATCAAAACTACAATGAGATATCACCTCACGCCAGTCAGAATGGCTGTAATTAACAAGACAGGAAACAACATGTGTTGGAGAGGATGTGGAGAGAAGGGAACTCTCATACACTGCTGGTGGGAGTGCACACTGGTGCAGCCACTATGGAAAACAGTATGGAGATTCCTCAAAAAATTAAGGATAGAACTACCATATGATCCAGCTATTCCACTGCTGGGTATTTATCCAAAGAACGTGAAAACACCAATGCGTAAAGATACATGCACCCCTGTGTTCATTGCAGCATTATTCACAATAGCTAACACTTGGAAGCAACCTAAGTGCCCATCAAAGGACGAATGGATAAAGAAGTTGTGGTATATATACACAATGGAATACTACTCAGCCATAAGAAACGATGAAATCCAGCCATTTGTGACAACATGGGTGGACATTGAGGGTATTATGCGAAGTGAAATAAGTCAGAGGGACAACGTCAAATACCATATGATCTCACTCATTAAGTAGTAGATAATAAAACAATACACAAACACATAGACACAGAGATTGGATTGGTGGTTACCAGAGGGGAAGGGGGGAGGGAGGAAGGCTAAAGCGATAATTAGGCGCATGTGTGTGGTGATGGACTGTAATTAGTATTTGGGTGGTGAACATGATGTAATCCATGCAGAAATAGAAGTATAATGTTGTACACCTGAAATTGATACAACGTTATAAACCAAAGTTACCACAATAAACAGAAAAAAAAAAAAGAGAACTATATTTGTGTATTTAAATGCCCTGGTGGGCTGTGAATCATATAGAAGCGCTCAGTTAGCCTCCCCCGAGGAGTGTGGTTATAAACCTACGTGTAATTTTTCAGACCTGACCATAGGCAACTACAAAGGCTCTACCTGGCAGGCCTCGTGGGGACAACTGTCCTCTGCACACCAGACTTGGTGCACAGTCTCTGAAGGTAACTGTAGTCAAGGACTCAGGACCCCCTGGCTGGTCCTGCTCTTTGCATATTTGCGTTCCTGGCTTACGTGCCTTCCTTCCTAGGTCTCTTTATCTGAGGCCTTGAGCTGAAGTCTTCAGGGGCCTCTACCCAGGCCTCCTTACAGAGGAGGAGGACAGAACCTTGAAGACACTTTCCCCCACTCCGACTCAGTACGCAGTACTTTTTTACTCCTAGCCCTTCCCCAACGCCCTCTTCCTCGCCTCCCCACCACCACCTCAGGGTCCATAAAGCTGCTGGAGCTTTTTGTTCTGGGCCCCCTTGGCCGTGAGATGCCCCCACATCTGTGCTAATCCACCTGACCCTCCACCAGTGCTCATTTCCATGGGGGAAAATGGAACAGGGGGAGTTGGCACCTGCTCCAGTTTTAGCCTCTTGCTAAAACTTTAATCACCTAACTCTTTTAAAGACCTAACTCTTTCGTTTTTGGCTTTTTGCTTTAATCAGCTACTCCACCTGGCAGCTTAGCTCTCTCTCCCAGCTTAGTTAAGCTCCTGACATCTGCTCAGCAAGGCTTCCGCTGCTCAATGGTCTCACCATCAACCAGGCAACAGCTTCTCAGGAGTTAAGTATATTAACCAATCTCCACACTGCCCATTTCCATGGGACTAGGAATATCTTTGTGATAACCAGACAACAAATCTCTTTGCCCATCTGGTCTCCATATATGAAATTCTCAGCATTACTTGACCTGCAAAGGGGCAAGGAGAGGAACTAAAATTTACTGTGTCTGCTCTACATGCCACTCTTTACATATGTCATCTTAATTTAATCCTCATAACAACCCCTTGAAGTGAGTGCCATCTTTCCTGCTTTACAGATGAGAAAACTGAGTAACTTCCCCAAATTCAAACACAAACACCTGGCAAGTGGTGGCACCAGGACACTAGCTGGGACCTCTTTGTAGTACTCTGTCCACCACCCCACACGGCCTTCCCAAGGGTTACAGCCTGGTCCTCTGGGAACTAATGGGCAGGGCGCATTGATTAGTTGCAACACCACCCTTGCCGGGCTCCTGGAGAAGGTGGCCACTGTGGCCACAGTATTAGGGCTGCGAGTACCTTGGGGTCGTCTTTCACCCCCAGGAAGAGGTCATCCTTCAGCCCTTTCTGGCAGTGCTCACACGTGCAGTCAAAGTAGTACTGCCTCTTCAGCTGCCTCTTGCGTTCTTCGCTGACATTAAGGAAGTCGATATAGGACACCGTCAGCTCCTCTCCTTCTGAGATCTTGCCCAGGGCCCGGAGCTCAATTCTGGAGCACGGTAAAAGGAAAAGAGGAAATCAAATCCAGGGCTGTGGGAGTGGGATTTGTGCTCCTCAAGGGTTCAAGGAGTTGAGTCTCAAAGACGACGACTTCCACTAGCACTTGAGAAATCTCCCATTCCCTCCAAAAAGGGAGGGAAAACAACAGTTTTCTGGATAGTTCTGCTCTACTCATTATAATAATCCAATCTGCTCCATTCAGTTAATTGCTCTGGAATCAGCTCAAATAGACTCCCAGTACAGGGCTGGGCTTGGTTGTAAAACCATACACAGTTTCCACATGCAATTATCCCTGTACATTTAGCTATTGATTGTCTGTAACAAAGGAAGGAACAAAAGAAATAATAAGGTGAAACTCCAAACAAGAGAAGACTCAATAGTCATTTCTGCTTAGTTTGGGGACTGCTCTCTCAGGAACACACACATTCAGTTACCCACAGTCTTTGCCTGTTCTGTGTTTAACTATAAGTCTCCTCTTACCTTAACCTTCAGTCCATGGTTCAGCCCTACATTATGTGAGGAGACTTATGCCTGGAGGTCACTGAAGGCAAAAAAAGGCTGGCTCTGTTAGCCTGCTGCGTTGTTTACTCTTGTGTTTATTGGGGGACATGGCTTTCTGGTTGAAGGTGGTTAGCAAGAGCGGATGGCATTTCAGTCCCCTTCCAGACTAGGCCTGACCCTCCAATTACCTATAGCACTGCATACCTTACCATGTAACAGGGACGGAATGTGCTGAGGACAAAAGTCCATTGCAGAACTGACATGCAGCTAAGCCAAACAAGCAGAGCCCAGCCCATGGGCCTCTCGGCCATCCGCCCTCCAGCCATAAGGCGAGAAGCTACAGAAAAGTGGTGAGCCCTGCGAGCTGGATCCTAAGCTGTGCTCCTGTATCTCCCCAGGATCCTGGGGCCTCAATGCCCAGCGGGAAACCTCCACCCGGGGAGTGAGCAGCAGATACAGAGAGCTGGGGAGAGCACCTGCTGAGAGGTCCACAGTCATTTCTTTTACCTCTCAGAGAGGCTGAGTCAGAAACCATGTGAAAGGCAGGACAAGATTCCAGCACCACAGAAGGGTCCCAGTCAAAAGCAACCCCTTCCACTTGCTCTGAGGCGACAATCGAGCGAGCGCTGCTGAATGGCAGTGACATGCATATCCAGGACTCTGAGGTAACCACATAAGTTAAAAAACCTCCTCCCAAAGTGGGGTGCCTTGACGTGCCCAATCAATGTAATATTATACGTAAAAACAACTCATGTGGAGCCTGCAAAATCTAAGTGCCTGTTCACCTTTTGTTTCTTCTTTGCTTTCTTCCCCACCCCAATTTTTGGCAGCAGCTATTACTGATGTGATGAAAGGCAAGAGGGAGAGGAAGGCTGGGTGATTCTACCCATAGCTCTGCTTAAAGTCCTAATGTCTGAGCACCAGGGGATCAACAAATTGAAAACAAATGAGGATGCTGATGTCCAAAGAGGTGAAGTAACTTTCCCCAAGGTCCCACAGCACTTGGGCAACAGAGTCAAGATTAGGACTCAAGTGCCATTCACACTTCACCACATCACACCAGCCTCGCCTGATTGTTTTCAGTCTGCCTCTCAGGTCTGCAATGCACAGGAAATAGAAGCACAAAAGCCCTTGATTTTAGGGCTCTACTAATATCCTAAATAGTTCCATGTGAGCAACTCCTGGGCCAGTGTTGAGTGTGGACCTCTGGCGTCTGGTCCTGCTGGGGTAACTAAGCAATTCTGCCCCCACTAGCCCCTTTTACAGAGGCAGCTCACCATAGTGACATATTGTCATTCAGCAGTGATTCAGTGGCCAGTTGAGTTAGGATTTCCAGTAGCTTTGCTTCTTATCGTGGTTAAGCCAATTCTTACTAGGTCTCAGAGTATCTTAAATTATTTCAATGCTATTAGAGAAATTTCAAAACCAAATTAATTTAAAGTCACTTAAATATGAAAAAATATATAGGTATATGCCCTATTTTACCAAACTTGAAATTGGGGATCATGGCATGAATAGTGATCACCACTCCATTCTGGACCCCAGACCCTTTCCATCTCTATAGTTCAGCTAATTGAGGCACAAGCAGGCAATTTATTTATTTATTGTAGAAATTAGAAACAGAGCCCAGAGCCACAGAGACTTAGAACTGGGAAGGTCCCTAGAAACGCTCTCATCTTGACCTTCGCTCTACAGATGTGGAACCAAATGCCGAAGAGATGATGTGAATCATACTAAGTCACGTGCAATGCACACCAACACAGACTCAGATGCACCAACCACTCCTACCCCTGCGTTCCCAGAGCCCAAACTCCCACACAGCATTTTGTTCTTAATCCAAAAACCATTTCAAGTACTTTCAAGCCCAGGCTGAAAAAAAGACCCATCTGGGACCATGTGGTTGTCAATAAAAAAAGCTGAAAGTAAAATCTAACCTAAACCACTAAATCATAGTTGGCCAGAAGCAGTAAACAGAGAACTATGAATAAATATTTATCAGAAATATCACAGTTATGGGTGCTATTTTCAGAACCCAGTCTGAGTGAGAAGTTGGGGGTTATGAACAAACACACAGTCTTTTAGTAGGTCAGTAATGTCAACAGTCCTCATTTCATGATAAGCAGTGTTTAGAGGGACAATGTAGGCTTTTGCTAAGATGATGTGGACTAGAAGGGACTGTCATGCCTTGAGGTTGGAGGAGCAAGAGAAGTAGTGAAAAAAGGAGAAGAAAGGAAGCAAAGTACAGCAAAGGCATGGCAAGTGGTGGGTGGGTGAGGGACAAATGATTGATATAAATGCATTAGAAATACAGCGTTCAGCAAAGACAAGACTCTGGGATGCAGAAGGACATTACGATTGGACAGCCAGGGAGTCTTGGCAAGGGGCGGCCCCAGCAAACCAGGCAAGTGAGGGAGATGGGTCCTAGGAGCAGGGATGTTTGCAAAGACTGACCCACCTCATCTGGGTGTGAAACATGGATTTCACTGCCTCATGACTGAAAGACAAAATAGACACCCGAATGGAAATCATTACCATTGCTGATGCTGTAGGGCTAGCAAGGGTGCATGGCATTTCAGGTTATGCAGTCAAAGCTTTGGCCATCACAACAACCTCTATCCCAGCCCCTTCTAGCTGGGCTAGTTTGAAAAGATGCAGCCTGGATAGTGGAAAGTGCACTGGATTTGGAATGAGAGGTTCTGATTCAAAGATGCTCAGCCCTGGACAAGTTACTTCCCTTCCCTGGGCCTCAGTGTTCTCATCTGTAACCTGGTAATGAGACAGTGCATTTAAAAGTAGAGTGCTAGAAAATGTATGGGATGCTATTATTATCCCACTAACCAGCATCTTGGACAAATAAATGTTGCCTCTCTTGATGTCTACCTTGGGAAAAATTTGAACTGCGTGTGGAGACTGGTTAGGTCACACAGGTAACAGGTAAAATTTTGGGGGGTTAGAATTAGGCTCCTAACACCACATCCAGTGTTCTTTCCACTATGACAGACAGCTACGCAGCGACTGTAAAGTCACCTTCTCTTGCATGACAGCCAAGAAGCCCAGGTAAAACATGGCTGCTCAAAATTAGCGGATACAGAGAAGCCAGAGCAGACACCAGAGATGTTCTGGAGAAAGGGTCCCCAGGTTCCTGTGGCTGTTACATGTAGTGACAAGAGGAGCCCTGGGTCACCACTGCTTAGGGGAGTGATATCCAGAAATACCAGCCTCATATATGGCTGAATTTAATCCTCTCTGCCAACCAGGCTAACCCTGGAAAACAGCCCCTTTAGGGAAGATTCCATGAGGTCCAGGCCAGTGACCCCAAGAGGCTTAAGAAAGGAAACACAAATGCTGGGAAAATATTATCATCTGGGTCCCAAATAAACTTCCCTGTCTGAGTGACTTTCCCAATTTCTTAAGGGCCTGGTGTCATGTAGGCCCTTGCTTCTAGAAATAGGAAGAAAAATGGAAATCAGAGTCCTTGCTATATTGGGGCTTAGGCTTGATTCTTGGCTGAGAATCAGAAACCACTGTCTTTGGTTTCTAGGAAGTTTTTTGGGGAAACCTGTTCATTGTTGATGGCTCAGAGTCAACTTGAATCTGTCATAAAAATCTTGTCTCTGAGAGCAAAAGAAATCATATAGTTCAGGTCCCATTCCCCTAAATCCCCCCAGCCTGAGCCAGGGACAACCAGGGGCTCATCCTGTTTGCTGACTCTTCTCCATTTGTGCCCCACCCCCAAGATCTGTTCTTTACCCTTCTGTCCCCTGATCTGGGGGCAAGAGGGCTGACCTCTGAGGGCTTCATTACCCAGGTTCCTTTGCCTTATGGCTTCTGGTTGGGGTTTGGTCAATGGTGGGAGATCAGAAGGTGGGAGGAGAGAGAGGTTGGGGTATTTAGTCTCTTGACTCCCTCTCTGTCTCACCAGGGTTCCAGCAGTGGCTAGTTTTCTGTACAGGCACAGCCAAGTTGTTGGGTGGGAAGAGGAAAGGACCCTCTCTTGTTGCTGCAGCTGCAGAAACAGTACTTCCTCCACTTGCCCCTCCAAGTCTAGGGGTGGCAACGGTTTCAAGCTGTTGCTAGACCCTGGACACTTCACCATTCCTTGTTAGTTTCTTAAACTCTACCCACACTTCTGTAAATTGTCCTTTTATTAAATTCTCTTTGGGTAAACCCTGAGTTTGCGTTCTGATTTCTGCTGAGACTTTGACTGATACATGCTCCTGCCAAGTGCCTTCTCAGGTGATGTTGTTCTGCAATGACCCTAGAAAGATAATCCCAGGCTTCAAGTTTTAAAATAGTAGTTAGAAGCTTATCTAACACATCTAGGCAACCTCAAGAAACATGCAGACTCATACATTACCCATGTGGAATTCTTTGCTATCTTCCTCATTACTTTTCTCCTATCCACAATTATTCTAGAATGAAATTTCTATTTGCTGCCCATTTGAAACCCATGCTAGTTCAGGTTCAACAGTTTGCCTTTGGTTTAAGTCAAGTGGAGAAAACACCATAAAGTCTCCCCATCCCCATCACCTCACCCCCAGTTAAAGACATACTCACTTGCCATTGTTAAATATGACGGTGCAGTTGGGCCAACAGTCATGGTTCACCAAGCCCAGGTTGGGGAAGACGCCCACACCCACTGCCTGCAGGCCTCTCTGGTCACTGAGTGTGAAACCATTGCAGTTAATCTACCCAGAGGAAAAGATAAAAGAGTCAGTTATCGGATATAGACTCGGGACAGGACACTATCCTAGCTGTTGAAAGTTTAAAAGAAAATAGAAGACCTGGTCTCATCCTGGAGATGCTTACAGACTCTGGAAACAAAACAGTTTCCTGTTCTCTGTGTGTTCTCTAAATGAGCCTCAAGATTAGCACCATGGGAAAGTCCCAAAAATGCAATGCCATCTTGAAAGTTTTGGTAGCTGTCTTCTAAAAAGGCTAAAGATGTAAATGTTGGTTCTGAGAAGTCTCGCTTTTCCTGTATCTGCATCTCACAAGTCTTCCCCAGTATTTGTCTTGGTTTCTCTCCCCGTGCCCTGCTCTCCCTTAGTGTGTGTGTGTATGTGTGTGTGCGCGTGTCTGTGTCTCCCCTGCTTCCTTTGCCTACCCACCCTCAACTTCTAAAGCTGCTCATAAAAGAAAATTGACATCTTTTTTTGATTATTTTATGTCTGGTGAATATTTTATACTACCTATTCACAATTTTAAAGTCTGATGAGTGCAACACTTAATGTTTATCTCTGAATGCAAGGCAAATCAAGCTGGTTATTACGTATGTGTCACTCAATTGATTTCCTTTTCCTTAAAAATAAGTTCTTCTTCATAGAAACAGATTCCAAATATCTACTCTCAGGGTATGAAAAATGCATAAGAATGAATCTAACCTAGAATACATTAATAATTGCATACAAATTTCTGCTTTATATATAAACACATGCTGTATATATTACAATATACATTTTTGCACTCACATGGCTATTTGTTATAGATATTGGAGGACATTGGCTATTTCTCCATTCAATCTCATCAGACATTCAGCAAGTACACGAAGTTAAGCTTCTCAGTACCATTAATAAGCTGTGTTACCTTGAGCAAATTTCTTTCTTCTCTGAGCCCTGGTTTTCCCATCTGTAGGTTGAATAAGTTGGATTAGATGATCTCTACAAGTCCTTTCAGCTCTAAACTTTGGTGATTATGCCATCTTGTGGCTGTAGTCCCCAGACAGACTTAGGGATATCCAGGATTGGGCTATTACACCCATTCATCCCAGCACTGTGGAGCATAACCGCTAAGGGAAGCAACTCTAGCACCAGACAAACTGCTTCTAGTCCTTCCTTGGAGACCAGCTCACTGTGTGGCCTTTGAAAGTCATGTAACCTCCCTGGGCCTAGGTTTTCTATTCTATAAAATAGAAATGGTAAAAGCAGACTTCACCTTGTGTTATAAAGATCACGTAAAATAATATATGGGAAGCTATGATGGTTAATTTTACGTGTCAACTTGGCTGGGCTGCAGTGCCCAGATATTTGGTCAAACATTATTCTGTATGTTTCTGTGAAGGTGTCTTTTTGGATGAGATTAACACTTAAATTGGTAAACTTTGAGTAAAGCAGATTAGTCTTCATAATGTAGGTGGGCCTTGTGCAATCAGTTGAAGGCCTTAATAGAATAAAGATTGATCTCCCTTGAGCAAGAAGGAATTCTGCTAGCAGATGGCCTTTGGACTCAAACTGCAACTGTTCCTTGGATCTCCAGCCTGCCAGCCTACCGGCAGATTTGGAATTTACCAAGCCTCCACAATCGCAAGAGCCTATTCATTAAAATAAATCTCTTTCTCTCTGTCTCTCTCTCTCTGTCTGTCTGTCTCTCTCTCTCTCTCCATATATACATATATACATATATATATATCCTGGTGGTTCTGTTTCTCTGGAGAACTCTGACTATAGCAGAAGCACTGACATATGTGAAGACTCAGGAGATGTTGAGTGTGATCATGCTGTTATCATATTACAATACATACGATCACACTACAATAACCCCCCTCCTCAGCCCACTCCCCAGTGCCACAGAAGGGGCCGGGCCTGCCCCATGGAAGACATCCACCCCTATAGCCCAAGGTCTGAGTCTCCTGATCCAGCGGGTTCCCACTCCCACCTCCTGGACTCACATGGCTCCAAGAGGCCTGTCTTTGTTGCTCCAGGCAGCACCCTCCAAAAGGCCCTTACTCTCCTCTCCCTGGCTTCCACACGCACTGCTCCAAGCCTCCCATTATCCCGCCCATCAGATCTGGGAAAAGGAAGGGTCTTATTTCCAAAGCGACTGGTGGGTAAGGGATGCTGATTGGGTCTTTGTTTTCAATATGGAGAGCAGAAAAAGAAGAAAGTGCAGATAAACAAGAAGGTAAATTACCCTCCACATCTACCATTCAGAGACAATGGATAGTCTGTGTGTGGGATGCCGACTTCTAGGGCAGGAATGACCTCATCATAAGCAAGGCCAGAAAAACAGAGATCCGGATGAGAACTCTTCATTTTAGGCCTCTGTCCCCCTCCAGTCCTTCTCTTGGCCTCCTCTCCCCACTCTGACCTGGAAGCATCTGGAAACTTCTTAGTTGGACAATCCCAGCTGTCACCCCACCCCCACCACCACCCCACTTTCTGAGAAACCATACCACGCCAAAGATGTGCGAGATGTACTGGATGCTGAACTGCTGGCTCTGAGGCGGCCAGTACTGCAAGAAAGCGTCCACGTCCACCCGCAGCTCCTTCTGCTCCTCCTCCCCAAAGTGCTCCACGTGGTTCTGCAGCTCGTCCACGGAGACCAGGCAGCCCTCGGTGAGCCCGGTGCCCTCTCTCTCCACCCGCCACATGATGCGTGCCGCCAGCCTGTGGAGGGGCAGGATTAGGGAGGCCCTGCTGCATTCATTCACTCAACACCTACTAAGTGCCTAATGCATGCCCAGCACAGTGTTGGGCACAAGATACGGTTTTGAACTGGACAGATGGACTCTCCTCTATCATGAAGCCTCTTATTGCAGGGGAGACCTAAGTCACAAAGATAATTTAAACTAGTGTGAAGTGCTACGCAGTAAATAAAATAAGGTATAGCATGATAGAGAGTGACTGGGGGAGGGGAAGCTAAGGTGACCAGGGGAGGTGACACGGAGGAGGGACACTCGAGCTGAAAGTGGAATGAACAGGAGGAACTGGCTCTGTGTGGATGGGGAAAGAGCAGGGAGTACAAAGGCCCTGAAGAAGGAATGAGCTTGGCAGGATGGAGAAACAGCAAGAAAGCCAAGGTGGCTGGAGTGGAGAGCAAATAAACGTGGAGGGGAGGGCAGGAGCCAGGTCACATGGGGTCTAGGAGACCACTGAAGGGGCCTGGGGACACTGTGAGGTAGGGCAGCCTGGGTCTCTCCTGATAGCATGGCTAAGTGAGATGAGCACTGGAGAAGGAGTCTAACAACCTGGGTTCAAGTCTGTTTCCACTTCTTACAGTGTGACCCTGGGCAAGTCACTGGACCTCCCCGAACCTATCCAGTGACAAGTAAAGTAAGGATAATAAATATTCCCTGACAGAGAATTTGGAAGACAAAGTGAGGTAATGGATGTCTACATCATGTATGAACTTATTCATATCCTTAATGATTAGATACGGAGAAGGTGGAGAAGATAATCTGGGTGGGGAAACAGTATAAGCAAAGGCCCAGAGGCAGCCACGGGCTTGGCATGTGCAGGAAGCAGGGAGGGGCCTGGCCTGGCTGGAGCAGAGGGCTCTGGCAGAGGAGGGGAAGCAAGGTGGGACAGGAGGGAGCCCTGGAGAGCACAGGGCTTTGAGTGTGAGAGAGAGGGGTGCACTTCACCTTGAGGGTGGAGAGGCCCCCTTGTTCACTGTTAGGCAGCCCACGCCCACAAGACGAAGCCTGTGACTGAGAGACACCTTGGCGACTCTCTGCCACTCACTGACTGCCTGCTGGCCAGGCACCCGGGAGGGGCTGGTGGCCTAGGCAGATCTAGTCCCTGAGGAGGGACCCTCTTGGCAAAGCACAGGCCCTTTTCTCCTTTCATTTGGGTCACACAGTTATTTCTGCAGAGATGCCCTGCTGGGGCACCAGGTACCTAAGAACTGAGGTGTCCCCATGTGGAGCTCAGGACAGCACTGGGGAAAATAAGACTCCGGGTAGGGTGTCTGCTGCCTCCAAGTATTAGGAAAATGGTCACTAAGCTCAGAGAGTAAAGATGAATGGGTGACAGATTTCAACTCAGTATCAGAAGAAACTACCAACCTGGACTACGAAGATAAAGGGAGTGAGCTCCCCATCTCAGGAGGAAACGTTTACTTTGGGCCTTAAAGACTAAGTAGGATAACGAAGAGCTATCTGCCCTCCCATGTTCATTGCAGCATTATTCACAATAGCCAAGATATGGAAACAACATAAGTGTCCATCAATGGATGAATGGATAAAGAAGATGTCTATATATATTTACAATGGAACATTATTCGACCATGAGAAAGAAGGAAATCCAGCCATTTGAGACAACCCAGATGGACCTTGAGGTATTATTCTAAGTGATACAAGCCCAACAGAGGAAGATAAGAACTGCACAGTATTACTTAGATGTGGAATCTTAAAAAAAAAAATCAAACTCATAGAAACAGAGAATAGAAAAATGGTTGACTGGGGCTGGGGGTGAGAGAAATAGGGAGAGGTTGGTAAAAGGGTACAAACTTTCAGCTATAAGACGAATAAGGTCTGAGAATCTAATGTAAAACATGGCGATTATAGTCAATAACACTATGTTATATAATTGAAATTTGCTAAGAGAGTAGAACTTGAATGTTCCCACCAAAAAAAGAAAAAGATAAATATGTCAGGTGATGGATGTGTTAATTAACTAGATAGAGGGCATCCTTTCATAATGTATACATATATCAAATCATCATGATGTACACTTTAAATATCTTACAATTTTATGTCAATTATACTGAAAGCTGAATTTTTTAAAAAAGTAAAATAAAATTACAAAAAAAAGAAAAGAAATAGGATTTCAATAGATGGAACTAAAGGGGATGGGGAGGCTGACTGAGCCATTTCATCTTGCAGTTTCCTAAAAATTACCAGGATATGACGATTCCATTCTGTACTTAAACTTCACACCCTACACACACAGTGACAATGCTTCCAACTTCACCTTCCCCATCGCCTCTGCTCTCCACTGCCTGCTTCATAAGCTCCTACCTGCAGCCTAGCATCAGGCTCTACCTGGAGAAGCCTCCAGGACTTGGGAGCTCTTGAACTGGGGCTCCCCACGTACTGGCCCTGAGATTTCTGGTTATGGCCCCTGGGGGAGGCCACTAATTGTTGCAAATGCAAATGCCTCTTGGGGGTGATGGGTGCAGAGACCTGCATGTACAGCCACGGGGACTGGCAGGGCTGCAGTGACTTGAAAAGCTCTGTATTTTTAAAGGGGGGGAGGGTTGCTACTGAGCTCCAGCTCATTTTGCCAAATCTTCAGATTTTTTTCCAAGAGAAGCCAGAAAAATTAATTTTTTTAATGTGAAATTTCACTATTTTTTAACATTAGCATATCAATTTTTTTAAAATTAAACACCAGGAGGCCAGCCCAGTAGCATAGTGGTTAAGTTCGCTCGCTCCACTTAGGCGGCCTGGGGTTCGCAGGTTGGGATCCCAGGTGCAGACCCACGCACCGCTGATCAAGCCATGCTGTGGCGGCATTCCACGTATAAAGTAGAGGAAGATGGGCACGGATGTTAGCCCAGGGCCAATCTTCCTCAGCAAAAAGAGGAAGATTGGTGACAGATGTTAGCTCAGGGCTATCTTCCTCACCAAAAAAAGAAATTAAACACCAGGGAACCACACAGAATGGGTCTGCAGCCAGCCCCAGCCAGTGAGTGCGGCTTAGAACTGCTGCTGTAGACACCCTGTTCTCCCTCTTGGACAGGCTCCTAGACCTGAAGGGAGTGCACAGAAGAGACCAAATCCAGCTTCTCCGAGGCTCCTTCCTGAGTTGCACTCAGCCTGGCTTCCTTGGGCCTGGGAATGCTGTCACTGCCTCCACCCCCAGCCTGACATTTGGGAATCCCAAGCAGCCCCACGGGGGCCTGGCTCTGACCTGATGTTCTCGTTGGGCACCTTCCCGTATCTCTTGATGGCTGAACACTCGTTCTTGTGGTTCAGCCAAGCATCCTTCTGGCAAGTGCGGTCACAATAATGGGCAAACTTGCACTGCCCGCAGCGGTGGAGCTTCTCCTGCCTCTTGAAGCAGGTGTGGCACACAAAGTTAACAAGGCTGGAAATGGAAAGAGAAAACACGTAACTGGGGCGCACAGTGGAAATGGCACTGCCCTAGTCGTCAGGAGACTGGGGTTCAAGTAGTGGCTCGGCGGGCCATCCTTGTCTTTCCAAGCTTCAGATTCCCACTTTTCAAAATGAGGGGCTTGGGCTTCCAAAGATCCCTTCTGCCTGTAGCTGTTCTTTTTTTTTTTCTTCTTTTTGAGGAAGATCAGCCCTGAGCTAACATCCTTGCTAATCCTCCTCTTTTTGCTGAGGAAGACCGGCTCTGAGCTAACATCTATTGCCAATCCTCCTCCTTTTTTCTTCCCCCCCAAAGCCCCAGTAGATAGTTGTGTGTCATAGCTGCACATCCTTCTAGTTGCTGTATGTGGGACGCGGCCTCAGCGTGGCCGGAGAAGCAGTGCACCAGTGCGCGCCCAGGATCCGAACCCCGGCCGCCAGTAGCAGAGTGCGTGCACTTAACCGCTAAGCCATGGGGCCGGCCCTGTAGCTGTTCTTTTAGTAGATATTTTTAAGTGAACCCAACATAAGGGACACTATTATGCTCTGCATATAAGCTCTTCAATTTAATTCAGCAAGTGTAGATTTATGACCTATATGTATTAGGCATTGGAAATACCACAAGTTGCCAGAAGAACGATTGAACTTGCGATCACCATGCAACATAAGGAGCACTATGATAGAGGAGGCGCAGACTACTCCTAGAACACATTGGAGAAGACACTTGAGGAGCCCAGGAACTCTTCTAGGCTGAGGAAGTAGGTCCCCTTGCCAAAAGTCACAGGTTATTGGTATTGTGGCACGGAAGGGAGCATTTTGTGTGATGTGTCCTTCTCATCATTGAAGTGTAATGTCCCTTTCCCCAAAGAATAAAAAATCATAACTATCTACAATATAATGGGACATGAAACATGATATGTTTAACACAAAATGAGATCTACATGTTATGATACATGTGATAGTTCTGTGTGTTTTGCAACAGTAAGAATTACAAAGTTGCTAATGTCACTGATGTTATCTGATGTATTCTCCTGGCTCAGAGAGAGAGCAGAAGTGATGTGGAAGAATAATTCCCGCCCATTCAACGGGTGAGGGAGAGAGATGTAGGAGATGAGATTCCTTACCCTGTGCTTCCAGCCTCCTAGTGCTCCCATCAGAGTCAGGTGTCTCCCCTTGCTAAACCCAACACTCAAACAGAAAAGACCATAGGTTAGCGTGAAGGAAACATATTTCAGGACATAAACTAACACCCAGAATGAGTGAAATCTGGTGTGATTCACAATATCTCTAGGCCCCAACTGCACACTCCTGCAATGTGGGAAAGAGAAATCCTGGCCACTGAAGCAGAAAAGTGAGAACAAGTTTAGCGATATGCAGGGAAGCCCTGAGCTCCCTGGGAGAAAGTGGATGTGTAAACTCAAGTTAGAGTTGACAATCTAAACAGGGATCTCAAAAGTATAAGAAAACAGGGACTTTTAGAATCACAGAATTCTGAGCCTGAAGGAAGATCTTCAACAGAACCTATAAGTACAGATATCCCTTGCGTCCATCCCCGTAGTGGGATTCCCATAGTGAAAGAGTTTACTGCTTCTAAGAACAGTTAGTCCATTGTTGGCCAGCCCTAATTGTTGCAGATTTCTTCCTTGTGTTAAGCTTGAATTTGCCTTCCCGGAAAACATACTCCTATAAGCTATTTTGGCCCTCTGGATCCTTGTCCAATGGAACAAGCCTGATCGGATCAGTCCTTCATGAATTTGAAGACTACTGCTGCGTTTCCTCTTCATTTCCCTTCTCCAAGTCAAACACTCCCAGCTCCTTCAACAGTTCCTTGTACAACACAGTTTCTGGAAATTGGGGTCTCCAGTGTGCCTACAGCAGGTCCCTGAAGCCAAAGGAAGGTGAGTGTAGCAGGGCAATCAAGCAAGATCCAGGGGCCAATGCTAGGTCGTCAGGCTCAAGGAGCAGCCCAAGGGCCCAGAACAGCATCAAGAGATGGAGACAGGTAGAAAGCCAAGCTGAGGGTACTGCACTGGCTACTGCTCTAAGCTACGTCCTGGGCTTCCTGGAGTCCAGGCAGTTTTCAGCCTCTGGGTGGCCAACTCAACACACTGCTGTGTCCCATCTGCTGTGAGGCACATTGCTAGTAATTTGTTACTCATCATAAAATACTCAAGGGCATGAAAGGTTAGTGCTTATTTATAAGCTAGAGCAGATTCAAGGTTATTACTATAATAACGTCTTCCTCACTCCCTTGCATTTCCTTAAGCTTTCCTAATGAGAGAGGAAGAGTAGAATTACACTCACATACTTAGGATTGCACAGAATTCTCAGCCCATCATAACTATGCCACAGAGGGTACTGAGAAGGTCATTTGTCATGAGTGCCCCAGCAGAACAGAACATATAGGGTTCACACAGGACTCTGACCATTTAGTGGAATCTCCAAACCCCTAGAGATGGGGAGCTATGAATTTCTCACATCTGTCTCAAGTCAGGATTGCATTCTCTGGTAGGAATGTGAAGTTCATTAGCAGGGACTAGATTGCTGAAGAACTCAAGTAATCGGGATCCCAAAGAGGCTCCAAATCTTGTCTCTTGGCCACTCAAGGGTGGGACGCTGGGTCACAACACTTTATAATTATGGTGCCCAAAACAGTATAATATCCAAGTGTGGTGCTATTCACACTTCTTGGATCTGAAAATTGTGTTTCCATTAGCTTCTTTAGCAAAAAATTCACATGTATTTAATATCAAATTACAAATATAGTCACTAGAACCTCCCGAGCTTTCTCAAGTCAGTCTCCCTTCATTTGTCCATATGGCATTGCATTTTTAAAACAGCTTTATTGAGGTATAATTGACATACATAAACCACACAGATTTCAAATGTTTAATCTAATAGACTCTGACATATGCATCTACCTATGAAACTACCACCACAATCAAGATAATGAACATAACTATCACTCTCCAAAATTTCCTCATGACATTGAATTTTTTAACCCAAAGCGGGGTCTTCACCTTTACCCCATCTGATAGCTTTCAAGGCAGATTGAAACTACCAGATCATTTTGGATTTTTATTGTCTTCATTTATATCATTATGCTAAGCTTTGAGTCGCCTGCAAATCTGAGAACGTGTCTTAGGTTGGGAAGGGGAAGGAGGAGTGGATGCCCACCTCTGGGTTATCAGGACCCAGAGAAGGAAACAAACCCAAGGCAGGAAAGAAAGGGAGGACAGCCAGGAAATGGTCTGGAGAGGGAACAGTTAGAAGCAAGCACCATCGTGCTGGCTGTCACTTGGAACTTGTCACTTGGAACTGCAAGCCTGTCTGCTCCAGGGGCACCCAGCAGAGAACAACCCCACACTGGAACTGCTCTAGTATTTTACACTCAAATTGACATTTTTAGAATATTCTAGTATAACATCCTCATATTTCTATTTATACACATATATTCACATTCATATACATATTGCATGTGAAAACTGGACTTTGTATCTACCAAACAAAAATAGCACACTTCACAGCTATCACACTGTCTCACTGTTTTAAATCTTAAATACAAATAAAAACTCCAGCTGGCCACCTAGAATAACAGAAGTTCTGTTTCTTCATCTTTACAATCACTGCTTATTTCTAATGTACTTAAACTCAGGAGGATGTGGTATCACAGGGATAGGAGACAGGCACTGTGGCCAACATAAGCTGAAACAATTCTGAACCTTAAGAACTTACTCTCAAAATAAACACATGTCGCTGAGTGCACGAGTGTTAGGGGCTGACTATACACCTGAGAGCCCTCTGAATTAACTTCCAGACAGAAGACAATGTTTATTAAAGGATAAAGAATTTTTAAATGTGCTATTCTGAAGTTTACTCAACAGCAATTGTCTTGAACTTAGACCAAAGTAGATTTTTTTTTGTGGAAGAGTATTTTATCCCTGACATTGTTTAGAATTCTTGGTGCATGGTGATAATAAAAAGCAGATCAACTTTTAGTTGGCTTTGTTACTGTTTTTAAAATCTGTGCAGATAATGTCCCCTATTGCCTGCACTGGGGGGGCAGGGAGCAGACTTCTGGCACTGCTCTCTTCTCAGTCCACACTGCCTGTGAGGTCACTAGGGCAAATTTTCCTAGCTTGGCTCAAAGGGAAAGAATACATTTGTCCTGGCACTTGCCTCCAGGCTCCCTTTAACTGACTAAATACATTTCTAACAGAGCCTGATTATAGAAAAATCTATTTGCCATGAACTGTAGCTATATTAAGTCCATAAGAATTTCCAGTGGAATGCTCCTCCTGTCTTCAAAGTCACTAATAACCACTTTGACCAGGAGAAGGCTGGAGACAGAGCCCCAAGCTGCAATATAGACTTGGCCCCAGACTGGGTCATAGAGAGACCTTAACAATCACTTATGTAATCAATTATCAGGCCTTGAATCAATTCCAGACCTGTTCTACAATATCTCACCATCATTTTGTCTCACGAGATTCTTTACAATCACTTTGCTATAATAAACTTTTAATTTTTTTTCATCAAAGGAAAATGTGAATCAGTGTGAAATGATTTTTTTTTCTTATAATGGGTTCCAAATGTTAACTACCAAACTAATCGCTACAGGCTCACACACCTGTTTTATATTCCATTCTACAATTTACTAAGGCCTGGAGGCAAGTTTTAAAATTGGTGAAACCCAAGAAGCGTTGTGAGTTATCTCCTAATTTATATCTAGATGAGGCAGACCTGTCTCTCCTCTCCATCACCTCACTTGCAGTTAAGGCTTAGCCATACACGAGGCTGGAACTGGGAAGAAGGAAGAGAGTAGGTCTGATGCAGAGCAGGGCTCCTCAAACTCCAGCGTGCACATACCTCACCAGAGGTCTAGTTAAAACTCATGTTGTAATTCCGTAGGTCCGCGGTGCGGCCTGAGATTCCGCACATCTAACAAGCTCCCAGTTGATGCTGATGTTGCAACTTTGAGTAGCTAGAACGTAG